AAAAAGTAGTAATTCCCAAAGCCGTCAAGAGGCCAAGAAGCTGCAGGCAAATCTCCCTCAGCTGGTAAATGAAGAGCAGGTGGAAGCAGTAATGGAAATATTCCCAGAGCATATACATGAACATGGCAGCAGAAGTTTGACATGATGTAGCCTAGAAGCAAGATTTACAATAAAGGCAGCCCCAGTGCTCCCAACCTGGACTCCCGCAGTCATTTGTGGTTCTTTATTTTCACACACGAGGCTGAAATCTTCCCGGCTGGAGCTTGCCAGAAGTGAAACTGGCTGGTTTAAGTCTAAGAAAAAGATGATTCAGGCTCCTGACTGAGAGAAAAAATACGAAATTCCAACACTTGAAGTAGGCCTCATGCCAAAATACCTGCTGTCTGAAAGTTGACATCTGTGCAGCCAACCAGTCATGGGGCTTTTGTCCAGGAAAGCTGAGACAATTAATCAAAGCGCAATATTACAGCACGTAAAACCCCTGCGTGGCCAACCTTCATCCAGAAGCAAAGTGGCCCTCGCTCACCATAGCTTAATCCTCCACAAGCACATTTATGCCGCGCGTTTTCCCAACGGAGCTATAGAGAAGGGCAACCTCCAACCGACACAGCACACACTAAGGACTCTCGCTGGTAGAGCTGCTTTTTGCCAGGATGGCTTATTTACTTCTGGGGTCAGGGTATTTGCTGTTCTGACACACTGGGCAGCACAGCTGGGATGACACAGTCCACAACCACAACATAAATTTGTGTCAGGATAACCTACACGCTCGTTACACAGAGCACAGCCAGGCCAAGTTACCTCCAAAGGAGCATCCGTGCAGCACAGCAGGTACACATCGAAACGCCACGAGTTAATGGGGTCCACAGAAAGATTCTGATTCAACAGAAAGGCAGTGCTTTCACTGCTCCATGCCAAAAACCATATTGCCTACACACACGCGAACACCAGCTCTATCCAGGCTGCCAACGAACGACGCTTTACAAGACCTGTGCTTCATTCCACCTATATAACGTGAACATACATCAGGCCACACACTTTGTAGAGCGCAGATGCTAGTGCGGTACGTGAAATTGTAAGAACTGCACAAAACATGTACTGGACGAGGCAGAGAGTTCCCTGGTTTGCTGTATTTATGGCCTGTGCACATGAGCCTTGTTTGTCGTAAAGCCTGTATATAAATGACATGAGGCTTCTGAAAAACAACTGCGATGCAACAAAATACAATAAAACACAGCAGCGACACTCCATAAAAACACATGTAGATAATTAAATAATGTCATATACTCATGTAATTTAACACTACACTATAATACTTATCCATGATGGACAAGACTAAAACTCTGAAAAACAGTTAATATAATCCTGACCTTTCTGAAGTTACCATTGTCAAATAGTTCCTCTTTCACCCTCAGTGAAAAAAACATATTGCTCCCAGTGTTACTATAGGCATGAAAGTCTAAATATATAAAAAAAAAAAAAACAACCCCAAACCAATTTCTCTCTCATCTATTTCCCCAACATTAGGGCATTAAAAGTTCAATACAACAGGTTTTAAAAACGAGCAACTGTGATGCTGATGAACCAGAAGACAAGGTAACGCTACTGCTAAAGTAAGGATGAACACAAGTTGCCATGATGTCACAAACGAAACTCTGAAAAATAACTACTGCACACAGCCACCACAACACTGAAAATACTCTCTCTGCGTCCAGGACACGGGAAAAGGGTCTAAAACCGTGCCTGGACAGCAGCTAAGGTTAATGCATTAGAGACAGAAACCAGAACAACGATGCCCTTGACAAGATAAAAATCCTGAATTCTAGAAGTAACGAAGAAGGTTCCAGTGGAGGAGAAAAAAATAAAAGCAGAGATCCAAATCTTGAAGAGGTGCACAGAAAACATCTCCCCACACTACGAAAATTATCTGTAGCTGCAAGAAAGCTCAGACTTAGTAATCTCACACCTATGAAGACTTTCGAGCCAAATACTTACTTCTGCCCTGTAATTATTATTTACACTAACAAGGTCCTGAGCACCTCAGTCATGAACCAGGTCCCTCCTGAGCCAGATGTTGTATAACCCAAGAACAAAGAGACACGACTTATACCCCCTTTTGGGCATATTAAAGGTGGTGATGGTGGGAAAATAAAATCTGCTTGCGTGATTAACAGCGTTTAAACCCGCTGCCTTCCAGCAGCAGCAGCCCTGCTCCCCAACTCGTATACAAAAGGGCAGCGCCGGCCCGGGACGCTGCCACAAGGCATCCATTTGCAGTCAGAAAAATAAAAAGGAGAAAAAAATAAATAAATAAGGGGGGGGGGGGGGGGGGGGGGAGACAAAAAAAAAAAAAAAAAAAAAAAAAGGCGGAGGGGAGGAAAGAAAATAACAAGGCAGGAGAAGAAAAGCCCCGCAAATGGCTGCAGCCGCGACCCAACTTCCCTCCCCGGAGCGGGGCCGGAGCAACCTGCTCCCGCCGCCCGCACCCCCCGGCTCGGCCAGACGCGTGGGCCCGGCGCCGGCCCGCCCCCGCCCTCCGCTTCCCTCCCTCCCTCCCGCCGCGGGGACACCGCGGGGAGGGGGGGCCGCTCCGTTCTACCCCCCCCCCCCCCCCCCAACCACCACCACCCCCGGGCCGCGGCCGGGAGAGGCCCCCGGCGCCCCGCGGCCGCCACCCCGCCACCGGGCCGCGGTTCAACACCCCCCCCACCCCCCCCCCCCCCCCCCCGTCGCCCGCCCGCTCCGCTCCTCCACCGGCGGGGCCTAGCGCGGCCTAGGCGGCCCCGCGGCGGCGCTGAGGGGAGGCGCGGGCGCCTGGAGCCGGGGGTGCCTGGGCGGCCGGCGGGGGCCCCCGCGTTGCTGCGGCTGCGCCGGGGCTGGAGGAGCTGGGAGATTGCGCGGTAGGACACTCACCTCAGAGCGGCTGCGCTGCGGCGGGCCTGCGCCGTGGAGCCTCTGCCGGGCGGCGGCCGGGGAGGGGAGCCGAGCAGGGGGGGACGCGGCGCGGCTCGCCCTGAGCCGCCGCAATGGCGAGCGGGAGAGGCGGAGACCGGCGGCGGCGGCGGCGGCGGGAGGAGGCCGGGGGGGAGAAGGGAGAGAAGCGGGGGGGGAGGAGGAGGAGGAGGAGGAGGAGGACGTATGGCGTCATAGCCCAGCGCCGCCGCCATGATGAGGAGGGCGAGGGCCGCGGCGCCATGTACGGGAGGTCGGGGCGGCCGGAGGGGGCGAGGGAGGAGGTGGCGGGGGGGGGGCGCTCGCCGGCGCCATGTTGGGGAGGTCGTGCGGCGCCTCCCCCCACACACACACTCCCCAAGATTTGGGGGTGTAGGGGGGGGGGTGCCGGCGCCATCTTGGGGAGGTCGCTCCCCCCCCCCCAACCCTTCATGGAGTTGGGGCGGCGAGCGGGAGGGCTGTGGGGAACCCGCGCTGGACCTGGCGCCTCAGCCCGGCGGGCGGCGGTCCCCATCGTGGTTTTCTGTGAGGAAAAAAAAAAAAAATCTGGTTTATAAACCACCCAAGCCCGCTGCTGGGCTCTGCTTTTTCCCCTTTCACACCCCCGCATACCGCCCTGGTGGTTTTGGGGTAGGAGAAACCATATTGCTGAGCTAATCTATTTTTGTTTTTTTGTTTTTTTTTTTTTTTTAAGATATCAAAATAACACATCGAGAGGCATGCAAGAGGCCATCTGTAGCTGTAAATCTTTGCCCGCTCCTGGCGAGGGCTGCCGGCTTGAAGCAGCTGTGGCTCCCGCGCTGGAGCTCCTCCGAAACGCGGCTTGGCCTGGCGCCGAGGGGACGGGTGTCCCCTTCTGCCCCTCAGAAAGCGGTGGTCAGACTGTTAGCTTGCTGCCCTGAACACAAACATACTCCACAAAGCCTCCCCTTTCTGCTGCTGCCCAGTGGGTATCGAGGAACTGAACTCAGCTTTAGCCCCACTAATTACCCTCCCCGGTATATGGAAGCTAATGATTTCTTGTACTGTCGCGTTAGGGTTCAGAGGCATCTATTAGGATCGCAGCCTTGTTCTGGGGGAAGGTGTTAATGTTTGAAGGTTGTCACTGTGCCCAGGCAGGCTGGAGTTTCAGCAGGAGCCTGAAATGTAAGGGAGGAGGATATAAAACACGGAGGGAAAAGGAGATTAGGGGAAATAATAAAAATGGGTATAAATCTGTGTTTTATAGAAGGGAGTCTTAAAACGAGGCTTGACATCTGATGCACTGAAGCTGTCAAATTTCCCCACACCTAAAGAATGACACGGAAAATACAATGATAATAGGTACTAAGAGTTAACAGAAGCTGGTTAAGAGCAGCCTGGAAAGCAAAATATTTTCAGTAATACTCCTTCATTAAGGATCTTATGTGTTTATTGTGCACCCTGTGCTAAAGAACTGGCGGATCAAAAAATTCAGTAGACTTTTATATTAGAGCAATCATAATTTTATTTTTGTTGGCATAAAGTGTGTAATTTGTTTTGTTTCAGGACATCAGCCTACCATCTGTGCCTGGTAGAAACCTCTTCCATGGGTATGTCATTGTACAAAAAATGATAAAATTTTTGTCATTATACTAATATCCACTACTGGGATTTTACAAGTCCCCTTGAAGCATGTAGTACCAGTCCCCATAAAAGGGCACGTGTCCTACGTGCCTGCCAGCTCACAGCACTCTGCAAATTTACTGATAGTCAGGCAAATACAGAAAATACAGAAAAATCTTCGTCTGATAGGTGGAATGAAGCAGAGCCACCAATTTTTTCTATTTACAAATAGAATAAAGCAATAGTAGATGACTTCTCTGGGTAGGAGGCGATGACCATACTACACCCATCTGCAGATGCAAGAATATGGAAAGCACGTTGTGGAAAACGAACTCTAACTGGCGTGCCTCGTCTGCAGAGCCACCCGAGGCAATTGGCATGCGCGTCAGGTCAGCTCAGGGTTGACTGTCCACTGCAGAGTCACACTCCAGTTGTTGCTTCCGCAGCGGCCCTGCATTTTTGGGGGGATCTTTGCTACCACATGCACACCCTCACGGCACATTGTGGGGAAAATATCACCTCTGCTTTTCGCGTGAATGTCATCTTAGCCTGTAGACTCAATCACCCTGAGGTTTGGCTGCTTTGGATTTCTGTCATTGGCCACCCAGAGGTATGAAATGTGGATCCAGGCCAAACGATGACTTATGCCAGTTTCTGAGACGAATGTAACTTTTGCTGCAGAGCCATGAAGGTGTTTTGGCTGGGGCTTGGGCTCCTTGAAGACAGGAGAGTGCTTTGCCAACGCAGGCAGACGTGTGGAGGCAGCTGATGCAGACTAACAGCAGTGGAATTCCCTTGTGCTAAGCAGCGCTTCTGGAGCAGCGCCACAAGCACCGAGACCTGGGACCGTGCCACCCGGCCGGCCTGCTATAGCCCATGGTGACCCAGAATCTCCCCAGGAGGAAGGCCGCTTCCTGGTACATCACAGGAGCAGAGATTTAAATAAGCCACCAGGCCAATGTCATAATGGTAGGATATGATAATAGTGGAAGAGCTTTGGGAGACTAGAGTCGCCTCCACTGGAGGTTTTAAGAACAGGTTAAACAAAATACCACTCAGGAATGCTGAAGGTAGAGTTGCTCCTGCCTCAGGGAGAGCGATGGATGACATGACATGGATGACATGACGTCTCGGGGTCCCATCGAGGTGCATATTTTCAAGGCCACATGTTGCTAATTGGTTTGGAACGGGCAGATCAAACTATGGGCTTGTGAAAGTGCATATTTATGAGTCAGTGATTGTTGAGTGTGCTGGGGCTGTGGCTGGCACATGTGCTCGGTTTTTTTCCACCCCCCCCTCAAAGTGCTCTTAGTTATGTGAAGAGAAGAGGGCGCACAAGACCAAAGCCTCTCAGCAGGGAACAGCACGGACATTCATTTGGTATGTACCAGAAAGGTCCCTCAGAGAGGCAACATTTCCCAGTATGAACCAACCAACTCTTTCTCTTTGAAAAACTGAGCACTAGCAGGTGTCTCCCCAGGTTCTCATGGAGATCCAGTCTGTGGTGTGTCATAGACCTATAATCCTAGGTGAAAAGGGTTGGGGGAAGACTAATTGCGAATACAAATGTACCTTTGGCCAGCCGAAGGGCTTGCACACCCATGGAAATGGCACGGGCTGGTTAGGACATCTCATATCCAGCATTCAGGGAAAGAAGGGGGAGGAACAATGCACAGTGGAGAAAGGGAGCTTTGGTGATGGGGCAGGCCCAGAGAGACCCGTCCACATGATCTGTCTGGGAAGAGAAAATGTGGAAGGGATAAAGTGAGGACAATGTTATCAAGTTACCAGCTGGATGTGTCAGCTCTGGTGCTGCGAGGCTGTGGGAGAGAGGTCCAGCGACTATGTACGGGCTGGATTAGCAGATCACCGTGTCTTTGGTTGGTGACTTCTGGGACAAAACAAGAAAACAGATGAGTAACAAGGAAGGACTGCCTAGGAAAAGATGCACAGGAAAGCATAAAGGGAATGGGAGTGCCTGGGTCAATTAACTGGCCCTGCTCTGTAGCATGGGTGGGTCATTACCAGGAATGTAAGTGGCTTTTGAGCTGTGGGCAGCAGCCTCAGACAGGTCTGGCCTGAAAGTGCCACCAGCCTTGGGTCACAGATTTTGTGTGTTTTCAGGTGCCACGATAGCGTTCATGCACAAATAAGAGCCCTAGGTGAAAAGCCCTAGCTCCAGTGAAGACTTCTTCCGTGGGAGTGTGGCTGCATTACAGCCAGGTTTGCAAGTGTGAAAAAGTCCTATTGACTTTTAGGGACCACAAACAGAGACTACATTTTCATAAGGGGATGAGGCACATGCATTTGCTGGGGTATTTAGCACGTCTCATAGGCCAGGTCAATCCAACCCCTTGCTCCTCTCAGCTATGCCAATGCGGGCAGCAGGGAGATGTCTCCAAAAAATGTTTTGGAGACACAAGTGTAGCTTTAGGACTTCCTGAATACATTAACTCTTGCTTATTTTATGACAACAGACATTACAATAAACAAGAATCTGTTACCTACCTGGGTTTATATGTGAAGGCTGATCTCTGGCATGCTGGAGATGAAGGAGCTGCACGTGGTCATGCAGCAGAAGACACGTTCCTGGCAGCAGTTCTCTTCAGGGTCTGCTTGCCACAAAATGTCCTAGCTGCCTCAGAGTTAAAACATCTGCTGCCTGTTGGCACTTCTTGGCTGCCTGTGCTCGCGAGCGATGGAAGAGGTGGTATCCCAGCCTCTTTGGCATCTTGTATCATCAGGGGAGAAAAAGCAGATCAGTCTTTTTTCTGTCATAGGGAGTTTTTATTCTTATCTTAAGCCCACAGAAGAGAAAACTAACTGATTCACCCACTGTGCTGTAAACAAAACACCCTGATGGTTTAACAGAACTGAGCATTTTTAAACATCGCTGGTGCAGACTGAAGGGGGAAGAATATAGACACAGCTGCTTGGCCTTTTTCTTCTCTCCCTCTTTTTCGGATTAAAAAAAATTAGATCCATTGCTCTCCTCTAATGTGAGTCTTTGCAACAGTGATTGTTCAGTAAGGTGCAATAAACCAGATTTGTGCAGCTCATAAAGAGCCTGGCTGGTTTTCATTACTCTAGGGAGAATGTTGATAGTGCAGTGAGTGTTATAAGTAGCCTTGATTGGGCTTTGGCTGCCACAGCTTCTCCGGAGCCAGATTAGACCAAAGCTGAGTCTGAGTTTTGGGAGGATTCCTGTGATGAAAAGCTCTGTTCTAGTTTGTGTAGTTGCCAAAATCCACACAGGTGTGATCATTCTGGAGAGCTGCTGCTGGTAGGATTGTGGATTCCTGCAGCATTCCCCAGAGCCTGTCAGGGCTCTGCAAGTACAGATTCCCGGTCTTTCACTGGAATATCCGTTCTCTTAAATTTAGATCCTTACACCTAGTTCTTTGGTTTTGTGGAGTATTTCCTTCTCAGATATTTTCAGCTTATTTTCACTCCTGTTCAAACACAGTTTGGTCAAGTTTTGCGTACACTGATCTTGCCAGTTTTCTACACAGAATATGACAAGCATCTAAAGTTGTCCAGTGTTATAGAGCAACATGGAACAGAGTGAAGAGGCTGAAGATAATATGTGATTAACCTTACTGGGTATTAGAGAGAGAAGGAACCACTTTCCCATAGAATTCCAGTTCTCCAGGCTTATTATTTAACATATTCAGTATCTTGCCCAGATTTCCAGTACCTCCATGAAAAAGACACATCCAGAGCTTTTCCCTCGATTTCAGGTTCACTGACATGAGAGCCATCTCAAGCTCAGAGTTTCCAGTATGGCCCTTCTGGGTTATGATGCTGTAACTAACTGCAGAGCTTACCCTTTTTTAGAATTCTTTGGCATCACCACTCAGAGCCCGCTCACACTCATAATTGCACCAGTGAAAAACCCTGGTATAGAAAGCAATGAGGCAGTCACCAGGTAATTTCAAGATTTGTTTTCTTGGACAGTAATAAGCGTAATAAGTTATTTTAGGAGTCTGCTTCCTATTTTTGAACTTCTGTTTTGGGTACTCACCTGGACCAGCAGTGCTCCGAGGCAGCCTCAAGCCTCAAAATGTTTGCCTGAGGAACAGGGAGGGTTCCAGCTACTGGCTCCAGAGACCTCAGTTCTCTCATCAGCAGGGAGAAAGGCTGCATGGTGTGAAGATCTACAAGATACCCAAGACTGGGGCTGAGACAATTGTATGATTATACAACAAAATGAGGTCTGAAGGTACAGCAACACAAGTGACACCTGATGTATCTTGGGGACAGCAGCTTTACTTACGGTTCCCCTTCTGCAGCAAGCAGTAACTACAAGCAGTCTGGATTTTGGGCTTGCCCTGCAGCAGCTGGCCACTTCACTGCTTCTCATAACTAGTGATTAATTGTTTCTATTCTGCCAGTACTCAGAGTATTTAGAAATAAAAGAGGGCAGTGCTGGATGAGTGCCATTCTCTGTCTCTGTGAAACAGCAGCAACAGTAACAACTACAGAGAGAGAATGGCACCTAAGAGCCCACTTAGGCTATTATGTATAGCTGTTCAGTGCCCAGTGCAATGCTCCTTGCAGCTAAGCACCAAACTACAGTAGATTTCACAGCAAAAACAGTTAGTGGGGAAACAAAGATGAGACTCTTAAAAAAAGGAAGAAACGAGCTGGGAACTTGTTGGCAGGAAGGCTTTCCTCTCTCATGCCCGGCATTTTGCCTGAAGCTTATTTTCAAACACACTGGTGAAGATTTTGGTTTTTTGGTTTTTTTTTTTTTTTTAATCGGTTCTTAGGACGGGGGTAGCCTGACCCAAGTATCTAATTTCCATGCTGAGGCTTGTCCTGTACCAGCACTGCGCTGCTGCTGCAGCTGCTGCTAATCCCAGTCCTCGATGGTGGGACAGAGCTGGCAAGGGGGGCTGTGGCCAGCACTGCTCCCGGGAGCTTGGGAGCACAGCCCCAGGGTGACACCTTAGACCAGCCACCGCCTTCCTAACGCCTACTGTAGCACGCAGTGCTTCCAAATAACATGCTGCTGCAATGCCTTTTGTACAGGGCTGTGAATCTGGACATTGTGCAATACTTCTTCAGGTCCAATCTGCTTTTCTTAGGGAAATAAATTCCCCAAGCAGTCACTGAAGACTGATTACACTGACTTGGAAATTTATGATTTGCTTTTCTTCATTACTTAAGGCAGTTTCGCTTAAACTGCGTAACGGGCAAGGCGATTTCCCCCTGCCTGGGCTAGCAGTCTGAACACAATTACACTTGGCTATTATTAGCAAGAGTGAGCAGGGCTGAGTTTACAACTGTGCGGGAGTGATAAGCTCAAGACGACTGTGCTTCCTCTCCAAGGAACTGTCTAGCTGTGCTCCACTCCTCCACGTCTAAGACACCACCGTGCTGAAGTCAGGAGGTATTTTTGTTCTCTGAACAGGGATGCCCAAAAGATGCAGTGCCGGGTGGTTTTCTTTTAACAGAAGATTAGACAGGGAGAACATCCCACACAATTTTACCCTCATCATCCAAGACACTGGAGTCACAGAAGTTTTCAAGTTTTCCGATACCCCTTTTTATGGCCTTCAGCTCAAATTCCTTAGGACCCACAAGCCATGTCCCCAGACTGATCACTTCATGAAAAACTTACATTTCTGTATCTCCACTAAATTTGAATTTGCTTTTTCAGTAAAATCTTGTATATCACAGAGAGTGGGAGAGATCTCACTTGATGTTCCTGTACCTAAGCGAGACACCTGGGGCTGCTTTAAGCCTCTGCATACAATTAATCAGAGGAATCACATCCTGAACTGCTCTTGCTGTATGAATCTAGACAACTAGCCCAGGCACTGATGCAGACATTTAGATTTAGGGGAGATTAATCCCAGGAGTCTCAGTTTTATGACTCTCATGTAGCAACATGTGAAAAGAAAAACTGCACATCAGAGGTGTTAATTGTCACCTTATGCTGATGAAGCAGTAGCAGTATGAAGCACGGAGGAAAGCAACAAGAATAACAGGTTTAGAAAAATGTAACATAGGAATGACAGGCCAAAAGTAGTGCACTTTCTTACCCCGAAGAGCTGAAAGGAAGAAATTTTAAGAGAAAGGAGTCATAACAATCCTCACTTCATGAAAGATCATTGTAAAGACAGTGACAAACTCTGGGTTATGACTACTGGTAAGCTCAGGACTAGCACAGCTCTGCCACGTGGAGGCATGGGAACAGTCCTGGAGGTACCCGAGAGCTGAAGGATCCTGAGACATTTCAGGAGACACTGTGAAGCTCGCCAGAGACACCCCCAGGAGGTCGCCAGTCTGAAATCTCAAACTATTAAAACTACTTTGATCTCCTCTTCCAAGTACGCTCGCAATGCCAGGTTGTGAAGAACTTTTAAGACCTGCCAAAACGTTGCGACAGACCCTAACTGTGGTTCTAGGCAAGAAAAGTGAAGTATCGACTGCCAATGTAAGAGCTTGAAATGTTTCCTATTCTGCTATCTGCTTGCTGGTGATGGCAACAGAAATTATGCAAGCCGCATGCATGAAACAATGGAAAAGGATGAGGGATCAGTAAAAGCATGTACGTTTCTAAGAAAACAGCTACTCCTTGGACAGTTCTCAAAGGGCAAGCTATAATTATCAGGTATGCTGAAAATATTAGATCTATTTTCAGAAAGTGCCAGGCTTCCTGAATAAAGTATCTCAGGAGTCAAAACAACAGGTGACAGAAGAAGGACTCTTGCTTTCAGGGACACCACTTCAGGCCATATCACTTGAGGTGAGTTGGACACCACGGCAAGCTCAGTGGTTATTACTGAACAAAGAGCCTCGTGCTTAGAAAGCTCCGATATACCCCAGCACAATGCCTGTTTCACTAGGTCTCGGAGCTCCAGCTTTAAATGATAAATAAAACATTATTTACCTTGAAGAACTGAAGCACAAGGTGAGATTGCAAAATTGAGATCACTAGAAGAGGCACTACTATCAATAGTATTAGAAGAAGCAGTGATTTCATAAGGGTTGGAATTTTCTTCATTTCTTCAAGCATCGGATTGTTGCCAGTAAGCAGATTGCAAGTTATGTCAGAAGCTTTAAACCAACCATAATGCTACTTATGAAGCTTATGAAGGAACTGCTGTTGCAAGATAATTCACTTTCCATAGAAAGGTCAGATTAAGAAAACTGGGAACATGACATCATTCGTCTACATCACTTATGATCCAGCCTTCACTTCTGCTATTTTAGGGGCCTGATAAAATCTGCTTACAACCCCATCAAACTCTACAGGCATGAAATAGATATCCTCAAGAGGCCCCTCCTCTTCCCTGATGAAAAAAAAAAAAAAACAAAAAACATCTTACCCTTGCAAAGCATTCCCACTTGTTCCTCCACACCCATCTCCAGTGAAGGATACGTTAACTCAAGGATGGGAAATTCCCAGCATCATCAAAAGCAAATGTCACAGAACAGAAATTCTCTCCAGATATAAACATATTGTGGTTTCAAGAAGGTCAGTCAGCCTACATGACATTTTGAACTGCCATGAAAAGAAACCCATAGAAGCTATCACAGACAATGTCTTGTATAAACAAGAAGGGAGCCAGATCATTCCTGCTATGCAATGAGAAATCCAAGTAGTTGTATTCAACATGCAAAGTGCTACAGCATGTACTATGGTAGTACTTCCACCAGATCAGGTGAGGATTTGGGGACAGATTTGTTCTACAAACATTTTTTTCAGACCAAGAAAAGTCAAAAAAGGCGTAGATAGTAAATTATTTTTTCCAGGAACAAAATACTTTAAGGAACGAGTGGTTTGCCATAAATGTGACAAAGAAACATCAGACCTTTTGATCCAGAAGTGGTCACACCTCATGCCTGTTTCACATCTCCTTTTTATCTGTAAGGAGATCCAAGCATGACTAGCTCAGGCAGAAGTAGCTATGCTATACATATGCAAAGCAAGGTGAGATGACCCATGTTTAAAGTCTCTTTCAAGTACGTTGACCATATTGCCACTGAGAAAACTCAAGAAAAACACAGCTGCAATAATTATTGTAATTAATTGCTTAACCAATGCAACTTGAATTCAGACATCAGTTTTGTAGCTTCTGGTTTAACATTTCAGTATGCGTGGAGAACTCTTCTCCGGGGCTGGTTATCTTTGTACTTCACCCAACAGGCACTTCCTATTAGATGACGTGGAAAAAGTACCCACCAAGAGATGTATGACCTACGTGAATCACCCTGAGAGAGAAAATGATTTTCTGAAATTAAATGTCATCTTCAACTTGCACTAAACAGCATTAAGCATTTTTGCTTTCTTCATACAAACTGCATACTCAGATCTACCTGCTAACATTTAAAAAGGGCTTCCTTGCAGATTGTAGGAGCACTTGGCCTATTATTTGCAATTTCAGTTATTAAAAATAGTCTTAACTTTCAGCAGTAATTGCAGGTGAACTTTTAAAGCGTTTGGTTCAAGAATTTCCACCAAAGAGCAAATAGCTCCCTTCCTGGCATATAATCACAACCATTCCAAGAAAGCTGTTGCAACCATGTGTTGCATTAAATATTTTCCTCGTTTTTCTTAAACATTTCTCTTTTAGTGCCAATTACAGCTAGAAGGCAATTGGGAGAAATGCTGATACTAAGCCAGCCTTTTGCATAAAAAAGATTTCACGCCCAGTTTACTTTAGCTTAGTCGTGAATATATCAGACCTTAACAGTAAATAAAAGAAATCCCTTTGGTTTTCCTCTGAAGTCATATAGCAATAACCTAGAAGGAACACTGAAGACTTAAAGGACTCTATTTGATTTTAAATGTACTAAATATTTCTTACCTTTAACAAAATTATGTGCAGTCTAAACCAAAAAAAAAGTCAAGGAAAAAGGTTTTTTCTCCCCAGGATTCTTTTATGACTAACCTATGGGCTGAGGCTGTCAGAATGGGAAGGCCCTGTAAGCTTCCTCTAAGGGCATCAAAAGCATCTGCAAGAAGCAGGACTCCTGAATTCACTGAATACCTCCAGAAAACGATCAGTAATTGGATAATTATCAATAACCATCTCAATATCTGAAATGGAAGACATTAATACTTGCAGGTGTCATGGTACCTACACAGCAAGTGCCACAGAACAACCATTTTTCTAAGTTCTAATCTTTTGTTCCTTCTGGCCTTTTGTATGACAATTACTAGCAAAAGAGAGGAGAAAAAAAAAAAACCAAAACCCAACAACAACAACACCCCCCAAACCCCCAAAAAACCCAACAGACTTATGCGTTTCTTAAAAATAAAGCTTTAAAGAGAGAGGTTTATAAAAAAGACAGTCAAATTGGACTCTCGTTGTTCCTGGAAGATGTCTGAAGCATCAGTGGGGAACCAAGACAGTGAAAAATGAGCAAATGAGGTAAGAGTTAACTTACTGAAAACTTTATTTATTTCCGCTGACACTATTTAGTGCAAACATCTAATAGACCTCCTGAATGAAAGGTTTTCTTTAAAAATACAGCACAGTAACCTCTTCATTGTGGAGACACTATTTATGAGCAAAAGAGTCCTCAGCTATCTTCCCCTGAAGTTGGGAAACAATAGCAAGGGCATTTCTTAAAATGAGAAATGAATCAAAAGGATACATGCCACTTCTCAAGCCTTTCTTATGTATCGTAAAGATCCACGGTGCTTTTCTTAACACGAAAATAACGTAGGAGATACCAGGCAATACAGAAACACTGACCGAAAAGAGTAAAGGGAAGCTGCTCACATACAGCTTGAAATATTGTAATGCCAAATGTGGTGAATAATATCTTTCTTTAATACTTTTTATATATATTTATAGCCATCAGTCACATCACGTAACAGTCCTGGGGCTCTTCCCACCACCGTGCCCCACCCACAAACATGCACATGGACAGCCAGGGCTTTGGTATACAGCTTCCACCAGGAAACATTGACCTCGCCTACCCAAAGCGGCACGCTGTGCGCGGCCGCTCGGTAACAGCAAAATGAAGGAAGCCCTAACACTAGAAAAATGTAACTCCCTGCAAGCCGTGACGCACATAACGTCACAAAGTTCCCTTGTGCTCTGTCCAGAAAGCAAAGGGCCTCTCCAGCTTGCAGTTTCCCTTCAAAAGATCCTTTGCGGATTTAGCAGATCAGGCTTTATTCGTCATAAACTCAGCTTATAAATTCTGCATCCCAGCAGGCAGAAAAGCCCGTCACAGAATCAAATTCTTGCAGGTTGTGATAAACCAGAAATATCTGCAAATGTCACCCCGCAGCAGCGGAGACTCCCTGTAAAGTCACGTCCATTTGAGCCAAAGACTCTCCCTCAGAAAGCAGCACAGCCTGCAGCACTCTTAAGCAACACATTCAAAAAGAATTGAGCCATTTGAAGTCCAAACTTTTCTCTAGAGATGTCAGTTGGTCTTTATTAACCACCAGGGAGCCTGAATTACATGCAAAATTGAGATGGATCAAGGCATGAAAGAGAGAAAAGGGAAAAAGGAAAAAAAAAAAGAAAGTTTCATTTTTCAGTTTGGGATAGTTGGAAGGGTTTTCTCATCTGTTGTCAGAGAAATGAATGGCAACTTTTCAGATATATTAGAAAGCAGAGTCTTTGTCCTTTGCACTTTGTTGGTCACCATCTGGGGCACTCAACTGCAGCGTGCAGAAATTGGATTTTTTTTTTTTTTTTTTCCAAAGAGAAAACATATTACGATTTTTCATTATTTGTTCCAGTAACTTTTGCATACTAATACTTTGCTTTGAAATCTTTAAATCATTGTAGCTCCGGTCTATCACACATGTAAAAATGACTTCACTTACTTGGAACTGTCAGATCAGACCAGACCTATTGTCTGTCTTGCGTGGCGTGCTGTCCCGTGCTGGTCAGCCAACAGCCACTTCAGAGGAAACTGCGCACGATGCTGCGACACGTAGCTGGAGAATGAGTTGCCCAGAAGGAAGCTACTTCCCCAAACACCTGCTCTGCGTGCATTTGCTGTTAAACTGTGTTCTTCATCTGGGTGAGAGATCCTACTGCTCTTCAACTTCTCCTGCAAACGGACTCTGGGACCCAAACTGAGAGTGATGGGGCGGGGGGCTGCCCCATGATGTTAAGCAGTTCCTACCTCAGTGCTCGGAAACATCTGTCCCTTAAAGCTCTGCGTAGTAAATAGATCATACAAAAAGGGAATCATTCTTTTGTAAAAAAAAAAAATTTTTTTTTCAAATGTTTAGTTTGTGATGCTAAATCCAGAGGTTACAAAAGACCTCCTGTTTTAGAATGCTGATACTTGGAGGAAATAATTGCAAGTATATGCTGTGACCAGAGTCTTCCTGGTGGGTGACGAGGAAGCAACAACATGAGTAAATCCCGACGAAGACACATTGATGCACAACGTTGAACAACCTGGTACTGCAAAACACATCTCTGATTCAGCAGAACATGCCAACTGCAGACTAATTAGCAAGGAAACGGGATACCCACCACAATTTTCTTGACATATAGTTGAATCAAATTCAGCAGAATAGTGGTGCAATAGCCTACATAATGACAGTAGCTGGCCTACAAGCAGTGCCACAAAACTCTGATTTTACCTGGTCAAGACCTCTGCATAGAGGAAACATTTCAAGCTGGAGAAACAGCAGGCGGCTTTACAGGCCTTTATCGGTTTGGGTTGATCACATTATAATTGACTGTTCCGTTATCTGAAACACAAAGTTACCTGGAAGCTGGAAAGGTGCTGCTCCTCCTCCTGCGGTTAAGTCAATCAGAAATGGCCTTGAGAGCCAGCTGGCTGCTCTGCCAGATCGACACCGCAGCTGTTCAGCCCTGAGAAACCAACTGAAATTCTGATGTGATACTTCCTGTGCATGTCACAGTGCCACTTGGCGTAGAGAGCAGGCTTGCCTGCTCCCAGTCCCTCAGGTATCCTGGAGAACTGGGGCATCCTCCCTTATGGGAGCTCTATCCCAGTGTAAATTCTCTTTTCCCAACTGTTTCTCCAAGATTCCAGCCCTTTTGTATTCCTTCCCATCTCTCCACAGCACGCATCAGTTCAGGACACATCCTCACCCCGCCCAGTCACTCTACTTCATCCTTCCAGTTGGTGTAAGAATCTGGAAGAGTCGCACAGCTTCGCTTGACACGCTGCTTCACAATTTACCAAGGGCTACGTTAAACACGTGAAGAAAACGGCGCGAAACAACTCTGAACCGTAACAAAGCTTGTGGTCTCAAGCCAGGATGTTTGGACTAAGAGCAATGGCTGTACGGGTGACCTGGGGGTTCATCATCATCACCTCTAACGGTGTGTAAAAGCATCGCTGACAACACCTAAGGTAGATCTCCAGATTTTAACTACAGCCGAAGGAGAGCTGGTGGTAATTCGCTGGAGCTTCGGGTACTGCTTATCTGACCAAACGCAGCCATTTCCTTTAGAACAAGGTGAATCACACAGACACACTGATTTGTTGACCCACCGAGGGAGCACTGGGTGACTCACAGATGAGCTGATGTTATAGAAATCATACTTAACACTGTCAGTTTTACCATGGTATCTACTTTCTACGCTCAAGGTTCCACCAGCACTGCTTAAACCAGCTGGAGGTACACCGGCGCTACTGGGGAGCACGTCCCATCCGTAAAACAAAACGGCAGCTGTATGGGTAGAGCAAACCCCACTACAAACCCTTCAGACTGCTGAGGCACAATGCTTTATTCCACACAGAACTGGAGGGTGAAGGGCCACAGCTGAACTTACAATGACACAGTGTCACTTACCATTTGTCACTCTGTGCTCGAGCTATAATAAGAGCGTCTTTGTACGAACACAACAGCGGTTATGGCAAAATATTTGAGCTAACCACTGGAGAGGTCAGTATGAGTTTAATCCACAAAAAAGTGTGTTCTTCACTGGGGAGCTTGGTTTCCACCGAGTCCTTTGCTTTCCAGCCACCCAGTTACTTTCTTTTCTTCCCTTTCTTTTTGGTGGAGCCCGGCCAGGGAAAGCCCCGGAACTCTAGGAAGGCAGGGGCATTGTGACAGATGTAGTAAGCATTGAGCATGGCAGCTGGGCTGAGGATATCCACTTCCTTCACCACCTTCTTTGCTTTCTTTTTGGAGATTTTTCCTTTGCCACCTTTGGGTTTGCGACTCTTAACTGCCTGCAGAGAGAAAATGACCACAAAAACATTCAGTTAGTTCTCAGTCTTTGTTGTCTTGCTTCTGGGTAGAGGATCCCAAGACATCCCGGAACAGCTGTTTCATTGCATCTGGCTCACAGTATTAGCTCAGACCCCTCACCACAGACTCCTGTACTTTGTGGTGTTTTTATAGATGGACTCACAAGCATTAGCACACTTTCACCAAATCCATACTTGCTCTGTAGGCTGTAAGAATCTCTGAAGCCATCAGACAGATGCTAATTAGCGTTCCTCTGTGCTTCTCTCTGGCTAAAAAAGGTTTGTGCACAATGGAAATCATACTTTCTTTTCAATCGACTTTTTAATTAATGCATTTCAATACAATTCTGAAGTAAACTCAGCCTATATTTTTGTGCCCGTCCACTTCTGTGGGCCTGCTTGTGGCTCTGGATCATGAACCAGAAAAGCAGGTCTCCCTTCTACAGCTGTGGCCTTTTCAAGGCTCTGCCGTACAGCTGCTCTTCTACCACTAGCAGGAACACAAAGCTAAACAGCAGCTCTGCCATTCTGTGTGTAGGAAGGAGGTGTTGCCAAGACTCACCCAAGTGCTAGACCAGTCTGAAGAAATACTCCTGTTAACTCCAGCTGATTAGCTCTGGTGCCTGAACACTCAGCCTCTTGCCTCTGCGAGGGATTTGCCGGAGTCTGATTCACACCCTGGATTGTTTTCTCACCCATCCTGGCCACTCCTCGCAACAAGCCCAGAGCGCGTCTGCATGGAAGACGCTGCCTCCAGGTATTGAGCAACAGAAACAGGGTCAGGGACCCGGGGGGATCTCTCATTGCTGCAGTGGAGGCAGGAAAATGGCGATTGCAACACGGAGCCAGAAGGTGGGCAGTGTCCCAGGAACGCTGGGGATGGAGCAACAGCTAGTCCCAGAGAAAAGGCTGAACAGGAGCATTTACACATCGTGAATGACTGAAAGTGTTTGATCTCTGGTCCGATGCCAAGAACACTTTCCGACACACCGAGTCACTTCATGCATCTGCCATCTATTTCTGTTATTTTGCACACAGTAATTAAACAGATCCAAGCACTTAATTAGGAAGAATTAGCACAGATACAGCCAGAAAGGCCACCTGTATCTATCCGTTGGGCATAAACTAGGGGAAAGCATTATACATAGTATATTTTTCACGGTATCAGTGCTAAAGAGTCCCTTTACAGCTCAGTACTGTTAAGTGCAAAAGAGATAAACATCTGTGCTCAGTGGTATGAGAACAGAGTCAGGGGTACAACCTTCAGAATCAGCTGGGACCACAATGTGAAGGAATATGTACAGGTAAAGTCAAGATTCTACATAAAACACACAGAACCACTATCCACAGAAGGCAAAAAGACAGAAAATACAGAGTGCAAGCTGCAGCTGATGGCAGATTATTTCCTAAACCTGCAGTCACGCAGACTGCAAACTACTTGAATTCAGACATATATTAGAGAAGGTGACAAGCCGTTTTTACAGACCTTAATTGGATAGGATTTGCTGAATACTTCATGTGCTGGAATGTGCACACTTCACAGAGTGGATGCTTGTGTCAGATTTTTCAGCCAGCCACCTGAATCACACTCCCTCTTTACGCATTCCCAGCAGGGTCTCTGGCAGATTTTGTGAGTACAATTAAGTCCCTGGTGAGAAATCGGCCTGTAGCTGATCTTTCAAAGTAAAGAAGTTGCTGACAGGTAAGGGCAAACTGTTGTCTAAGTCTGCAGTGAGAACCAGGGAATGCCTTTTGTCTAGAGCAGCCTTGCTGCTCCTGCTGTCCCTCTGCAGTGGATATCTCTGGCCTCCAGGCTTTAAATGTTCTCAGTCATTGTCAGCAAATGCGTTGTCTTGTTTCCTGTCTCTCATGAAACGTGGCAGCAGCAAACCGTAGTCTGTGGTCAGCTCACACATTGGAACACAACCTAGAAAGGGGGTTCCCAAAGCGTGGGAAGCCAACAAGCTCCAGCACAGCATCACGAACGCCGTCAGAAGAAACTCCTTGTGCGTGTATGTGCACATACAGCAGCGCCAGAGCCAACGCTTGGCGCAGCAGCTGGCAACCCCAGGATTTCTCATGGATTTCTCAGGCAACCAAAGGATGCATGATGCTGAACAGAGCGCAATTCTTTTTCAGCGTATAGAGGCAGGACTTGCACAAATCAGACTTGCCGCCATGCTCTCTTGTGAGTTTTTAAACTACAGCTCAGCGTGACATCTGAACACTCCTTAAAAGTACTGGGAAGTCCAAGTTTGTGCAGCATTTTCATTGACCCACAATAAGATTTGAGCCTTTAAATGATTTGTGCAAAATTTTACAGCCTACAGCCAAGGACAACAAAAGCTAAAAATCAGAATCACGTGCATACTTGCACACAGAGTGAATTTGGGCAGGTCAGTTTATGTCCTGCAACCTCGGGAGGGAACCTTTTGGATAATAACTCCATTTCCTTAACAAGCAGTATTAATACCCTTCAGAAGAATCAAACTGGTATTACCATGGCTAAGTCTTTTTGCTGAGCAGCAGGACTCCACACCAAGCCTTGAAGATGGACCCTTCAACACACAGTCACACAGTGGGTTACGTACTGCGCAGAGCACTAGTATCATTCCCCCTTAAACTTTAAAGGGGAAAAAGCAAAAAATAATTAAAGTTAGTCCCTTGCAAAAATAGGTTGAGGTGTGTCCTACCTAAAAGCACCTCTTTGCAATCACCTGTGAAGCCATCTGCTAACTGCCAGATTCCAGGACTCTAAGCTTTTCAGCAAAGTCCTTGAGATTTACACTAACAGAAGACTAGAAGAGCAAAGAGCCTGAACCGCAACTGGGTGTCAGCGACCTGCAAAAGGCAGTCGCGGAGCCGCAGGGCAGCGCTGCCAGGCTGCCCCAGGCTCACCGCCCCCAGCCCTGCCCGCAGGACACCCGTGGGAGCACCGGCAGGACCTCCCCTCCCCGTGCCCACGGCACCCACAGCCTCCTTTTGCCCGGGCAGAAGAACGGAAGATGAGGAGGGGGGGTCCCCTGCGTGAAAAGGCAACGAGTTCTCCACAGCCTTCACCCCCTCTCCCCGTCGGGTGGGGGGGCACCGGTCGCACAGGAACGCGGCGCTGCAGAAATAAAAGCACAAGGTTTAAGCGCAGCTCACCGGAGACCCCGCTCTGCCCGCGGCAGGTCCCGCTCCCGGTCCTGCTCCTCGCTCCCGGTCCTCACTCCCAGTCCCACTCACGGTCCTGCTCCTCACTCCCGGTCCCGGTCCCGTTCCCGGTCCTCGGTCCCGTTCCCAGTCCTCACTCCCGGTCCCGTTCCCGGTCCTGCTCCCATTCCTGGTCCTGATCCTCACTCCCGGTCCCGTTCCCGGTCCTCACTCCCGGTCCTGCTCCCAGTCCTGGTCCTGCTCCTCACTCCCGGTCCGGTTCCCGGTCCTCACTCCCGGTCCTGCTCCCATTCCTGGTCCTGCTCCTCACTCCCGGTCCTGTTCCCGGTCCTCACTCCCGGTCCGGTTCCCGGTCCTCACTCCCGGTCCCGTTCCCGGTCCTCACTCCCGGTCCTGCTCCCATTCCTGGTCCTGCTCCTCACTCCCGGTCCCGTTCCCGGTCCTCGCTCCTCACTCCTGGTCCCACTCCCGGTCCTCACTCCTCACTCCCGGTCCCGCTCCTCAATCTCGGTCTCAATCTCGATCCCGGTCCCGTTCCTCACTCTCGGTCTCGATCCCGGTCTCGGTCCCTGTCCCGCTCCTCACTCTCGGTCTCACTCCCGGTCCCGCTTCTCCCCTCACGGCCGCCACCGCCAAGCGCGACCGCGCCGCGTTGCCATAGCACCCACTCCCCCCACCCCTCCCTTCAGCCCACGCATGCGCAGTGCAAGGCGGGCAAGCCGGAGGGGCAGGAGGGGCGGGGTCTCCCGCTGACGCACCGCCCCTCGCCCAATCCGGCGCCGCCGGGGCGGTGCTGCGCCGCGCGCGGCCTGAGGCCTCAAACCGGCCGCCTCAGGAAAAGGGCGGGAAAAGGTTTTTCCGGGGCTGAGGGGAGCTGCCGCCGGGCTGTCCGCCGAGAGACGGGGCACGAAGGGGGCTACCCCACCCACAGCCCAAAGCACCAGCGAAAGGTCATAGGGAAGGGGGACAACAAAAAAAAAAAAAAAAAAAAGTTGTGCTCTTCAAAGGTTACGGGAAAGATTGGCGTTTGCTAGACTATTGAATGAATATTCGCGTTATTTGTGGGCAAAAAAGTCTCGGGCTGGGAGATGTTCTGCCTCGGCTTCCTGCCTGTGCTGAAGGAGGCACAGCCCACGCTTTTATTCTCTGCTGTTTCAGTGTGAAAATCGGAGGAGTTCTCTTTGTTTAACCAGCTGACCTAGTGTCCTTTACCACAAAAACATTTTAGAAAACAACCGCTGCTTTTGCTTCCTTTGAAAGCCACAGTTTCGCACAGCAGGTGCTGAAAGCTACACATAATAGTGTTGGAATGTTTTCAAGAAATCAACATAGAGGGGACGGAGGGAGGAGCAGGCAGCTGAAGGGTTCATTTCAGTGCCCTGCACCTCTTTTAGACAAGTTTTTTTCACAGCCAGGATACTAATGCTTGTAAATATCCTTTTTAAAAAAAACTTTGGAGAAAGAATGGGAGGGAGGTATCTCTTCTGTGTCCATCAGGATCAGGTTTTCACTTGCAAAGTGCTAAAAATCAAAAAGCACAAGTGAACAATATCAGCAGGAGCTGAATTGCCTCACAGAAAAAAACAGCTCATAATTATACTACTGCCAAGCCCCAACACATCAGTGAGTCTGCCTAGTTCATTGATTTATTTTTACCTCAAACATTAACTTCTCTAAATCTGATCTCTGGTACGTAAGCCCATAGGATGCACTTTGTCATAATTTTCAAGCTCTTCCAAATCTTGACAGGAGCTTTAGAGGGGTTTTGATTTTAGTGAGATTTCCTAAGGGAATTTTGCTAAGGCTTGCCCATCTGCAACAACTTCTGAGCTGGTTGTTTAATTCCAACCAACATTGACACAGAAGTAAGAGCCCAAATGCATGAATTCCCTACGCATTTCATGAAAATCACGAGCTTCACAGTGTGGGAGAGAGACAACTATTAATGTCTCTACTGAAGAGATGTCAGCCTGTCTCTGGGCTGTTTGGACAGAGCAGTATTTAAGGGCAATGAGACATGAACCTGTAGGAAGACAGCTTAGTTTCAGCATGATTAATTTCAACAAACACGAGGATTGTCTTAATTTTGGAAACTGGAGGTTCTAATGTAAGTTTCAAATATCAGAAAGGCTCATCATTTTAACACAACTGTGTGTACTGAAGACCAATGTGCAATTTCTTTTTTTAAAAAAAACTTCTGGGAATAGAGATGCCTTTACTTTTTAATTTGTCTATCGGACATAACAACTGTCCAGCCTTCATTTTCTCCCCTGGTATGAGTTTGTACATATTATAGTCTGCTATGTACGGACGATTAAATAAATCAACATTGTAAGGCACTGTGGGTTAGAGGATTCTAAGTCTGATTTACAAAAATATCCATGCATTCTTCCCACTCTTCCTCTCTTCCTGGCAGCTACAGAGATTGTTGGGTTTATTACAAACACAAATTTCCACCTCGCGGAATTATAATGATTAACAAGCAGTCAGCTGTTGCTTTGGACACTGTGAAGTGATGTGGTGGTTAGAAGGCATGCAGACTCTGTAAAGAAGCTTTTTAAATATTGGTGGAAGAGTGGACATATTTGGCTACAAATGTACAAGTACTGAAGGGGACAGAAAAATCTGTAGTGGTGAAAGTGTTTGCAGGAACAGTATTTCAGCATGAAAATAGAAGTGGATATAGTGAATGAGCCAGACCGGTGACTGAGTAGAGTAAAACATGGTTTAATGAAGAATGATCAGAAGGACTTCCAGAAATGAGAACAAAAGAAGATGGGAACAACAAGAGCCTAATAAAACTTGAAGAGAAATAAAGGTACCAGGGAAAGAAAGGAAGAAGGTGGTCAGGAGGAAACTGTTGAAGGAAAATAATTATCACTGCATGCGGACTAGGTACCAAAAGAAGGCTAAATGACAGGAATGAGTGCAACAGCAAAATGTACCAGGTGATGACTAGAGGAAGAGCCCAAGAATAGCGAAAGCAAAGATTAAAGGCACTCCTTGGCAGAATATAGGTCTAATGATTATCTATTTTATCAAGAGGGAAAGTTGAGCCAGGAGCACAGGTTGGATAGAGAAGTGAGACCAGGAAACTTTGGAAATAGTATCAGCTGGGTCATCACCTGACATCATGGCTGAGCGTGGGTGTCAGTGGGGAGCGAGATGCTGCTGAGGAGGATGTTTTGAAAAGCAATTTTGAAACACAGGGTGGAAACCGCTAGACGTATTTGCCTTGAGCAGAAAGGGATTGAGTTAATGGAAAACACCATTTTATCTTTCCAAAGTAATGTGTTTGAGTGCCTGACTAGCTGAGCGCCGTTACCAAGTGGAAAAAACTTCTCTTGTAATCCAGCGTGTTATGTGTTTTCAAGAACAAGCTATAAAATGTTCAGTGTAGAAAACATACATCTCGGGTTCTTTTACTTATCAAGGATATTTTGTTTTCTTTCTCATGACTGTTCTTCATTGCTGTGAGTGGGATCCAGAAGAATGTGCTGTTCAGAGGGAATTGCTTTCTGATCTGTGAGGAGTATTGAACTTCACCAAGGCTAATGAGCGTGTTATCTCTCTTCTACTCAGGCTAAATGGTGGAGCAGCTGAACTTTGTATTTATCGGTGAAGGAAAACGAAGGATACTGTTGCCCTGTCTCACAGGCCATTGTCAGGGCAATGTGGAGGATGAATTGTAGAGTAAAGAGGTTCCTTGCCCTTTGAAAAGGTGCAGGGCCTTGGTCTTTAGTTGTTCTAGGCATGTCTGTGGTTTGAATCTTATTTTCAGTGGGTAAGTTTACTAAAGCAGCTCCTCTTCTTCCTTTTCTGTCTCTAAGAGGCCACAGGCAACTGACTCAGTTAGCTATTTGAGATTAAAATAGCCCTGCCAGAAGAACATTCGCTGCTGAGGAAAATCTCAGAGGAAGCCCAGTACCTGATCAGAAAGAGCCAAAAAAGCCAGTGAAAGAAGCAAAAGACCAAGAGAGAGTAGGGAAGGGCTGGGTAGCGTAGCTCAGAAAGAAGGTCTGCAGATTTTCTAATTAAAGCTCTTTTGGACGAGTCTTGGGATGGATAATGAAAGACATAATGAAAAAACCCAATATTTGATTTTTACCGTGTTCAGAGAGAAATGGGTTCGTGTCATTTTTATTAACGAACCACATAGCATAAAAGAAGCAATCATAATTATACTCATTATCTCCTTTTAGCAAAAACAACTGGAGAGAGACCGCATTATGCTAACTATTGAGGCTAAAAAAAGTAACAGTAGTGACAAGCACGTCTGAAATAATAGAACAAGGAGACAAAAATTAGGCTGTGCAATCAACTGCTGTATTTTGTAAAGATGCTTGGACCTGGCAACAAAACAAGCTACTGTTTACACATGCAAGGCTTTTGATAAATAATTAAGGGAAGTTTCTGCAAACTTAAGGGTATAATAAACCTAGCCTCATAAAGTCACTGCTGTAGTTTCAACCAGATAAATAAAAAGTGCTTTAGCTCTGGCAGTTGTCAGGCCAGGACAACTCAGTATCATTATTTTTATGAAAATATTCCATACAATTTAATTTTTTTTGTCCATAAAATATATTTTTATGGAAATAAGAGAAAGCAGGGATATTAGGTTATGGTGGTTTTCACAGAGACACAAGAAACTGTATATGCACAGGCACGGGGCCACATCCGAACAGAGACTCAAATGGCTACTGAGAAGTGTATGTGCAGAAACATAATGTCTCATGTTCCTTACTCCAACAAATTGATTTTTTTTTTTTAACAAGTTGTTCCATAAGCTTGGAATTAATGAAACCCAGTGTCATACAGGTTCGCGTGCTTTCCCTGCAGCTCAGCCCTCTCCCCTTGGACTTTAACTGGACTAACCATAAGCTTTCCTCCTGTCCTGCAGGACAGAGCTCCTCTTCCCCCAGCCCCAGCACACGAGGCGGCTGCAGACCTGCCCCAGCAGACCCGCCGGCCGTCGCACGAGCACTAACTGGCCTGCAGCTTTCTGCCAGACCGAACGGATCAAGGCTGAACTCCCCCGGCCTTCGCCTTGTTTGGGGAGTTCATGGGGTCACTCCCTACCTAGCTGCCAACTCTGAAAGGAACTTCGTATCAGCAATAGTGTGGCCAGCAGGACCGGGGCAGGGATCGTCCCCCTGTGCTGGGCACTGGTGCAGGCGACACCTTAAGTACTGGGTTGAGGTTTGGGCCCCTCACTACAGGAAAGACCCTGAGGTGCTGGAGCATGTCCAGAGAAGGGCAACGAAGCTGGTGAAGGGTCTGGAGCACAAGTCCTGTTAGGAGTGTCTGAGGGAACTGGGGGGGGTTCAGCCTGGAGAAAAGGAGGCTGAGGGGAGCCCTGATGGCTCTGTACAGCTACCTGAGAGGAGGTTGGAGCGAGGGGGGGGTCGGTCTCCCAAGTAACAAGTGATAGGATCAGAGGAAACCTCCCTGCCAGAGGAGGTTTATATTGGATATTTGGAAAAATTTCCTCCCCAAAAGGGTTGTCAAGCACTGGACCAGGCTGTCCAGGGAAGTGGTGAAGTCACTATACCTTTTGGTATTTAAAAGACATGTGGACGTGGCACTTGGGGACGTGGTTTAGTGGTGGGCTTGGCAGTATTAGGTTAATGGTTGGACTTGATCTTAAAGTTCTTTTCCAACCTAAATATTTTTATGATTCTGTATCTTTGAGGCTTTTTAACCTTCACTCAAATTTGCATGAAATTAGCTAACCAGTTCGGAAGTTGCTTATAGAGGACTGAGAAACTAATAGTGTAATTGCATATGCCTTATATCCCTAGAAAACAAGGTTAAAAATAGAACAATCTGTACTGAAGTACTGAAGAAAATGACTTACCAACAGCAAAACTTTCAGCAACCACTTGTAGGCTGAAAGAAAAAAAAAAAAAAAAAAAAGCTCTGCATATGCTAATTACAACAGAAACTGAGAATACTCGAGTATTCCTGGAATCAACAGTCATGTCTGGGGTAAGATAACAGATGTTCCTTCAGCTGCACAGAAACCATCTGAAACTTTGTTCTGAAACTTTCTTGCCATACATCAAAATGATTATTCCATAATTACTGTCCCCTAACTGTTTTTAGATTTATTTTTTTTAAGAAGAAAATCCTCACCATGAAGCAAAGAAATTTTAAACTGCTGCCTGCTTGCAGTTTGAGAAATGCAACAGGAGGATGAAGGCCTCTCTAGTACTACTTGAGAAGCAGCATCTGGGACTGTCTGAAGTTCAGGTAAGGGAGTTTTCTAGAGGGGCTGCAGTTAATATACTGCTCGGACACCTCGAGGGAAAGTCTTTGTAGTAGTACATCACTTGAATTACCTGCATCTGTTTGTAAGCAGAATAAACTTATTAAAATAGAGGTTCCCTCTGTGGCTGCTGAACTGGCATTTCAGCCCCACCACTGCTCTGCAGAGCACGGGGCAGTCCGTAGTGAGACCAGCAGTTTTTATCAGCATGAACTGAAACCCACGGTTTCCAGCTTTCCAGAAGAAACCCTTGCTAAACATGGCACATCGTATCAAAAGTACAGTCTTCGTGACAAATGTGGGACAAAACACAAATATTTAAGTTAAAAGGTGTACCCTTCCCTAGTTACCTTTTTTACACAGAGGTTCAGGTTTTGTATAGAGGCATATCTCTAGGAAGCATAACTTGGGGTGGTGGTGGTGGAAATAAATAATATTCAAAAATAACAGTTTATACCATCCTCTACCACACAGACATTCAGGTAAGACTTTGTATTTCAATTCTCTATCTCAGTAAAAATAGAAGGCAGTATTAGTAAAAATAAAAGACAGTAAGCTGTGGAAATCTTACATGAAGCACAATTTAAATACAAAATGTAGAAAAATACACACTGTCTATGTAGTGGTTATTTTTTTTTCTGACTTACACATTGTGGGAAAGAGGCACGTGGCGGGGGGGGGAAAAGTTTTGAGCCAAATACCACAGGCTTTTCTAAGTTTCTGATTCTTTAATAATTCATTAATTCCTTTTTGCCCTTGAAGAAACACTTACCTTCATGACTCTAGTTTATTAACACCAAAAAGATTTGGATACATTGATAGTACTTCCTTTACATTCTCACTTAGATGTTGGGAAAATAGATTTTCTAAATCACTCTAAAACAGAGAATACCAGAGGAATCATAAAGCAAGGGGTGTAATATGGTTAACCAGAAAAAAACACTCCAGGCTCTTTCAGTGTGGGGTCACCAGGTAAAGGAAGGAAAAAAGGAACCAACAGCACTGGAGAGGTGCCCCTTGCGTCAGGGTACACGGTACCACACAGAGGTACAGCTAAATTCCCAGGAGCCTGGCCTGAGGGGGAAATGGCACATTTAGTAGGAAAATGAGAGGCAAAATATCAGAGAGAAAATCCTGAAATTCAGCTAGTCCTGGGCTCTGGATCCTAGCACATACTGAAAATAGTAGTATTTATACTGCGTTTCGCCTACTTAAATTTGAACAGACCCTTCAGATGTCTGCCATATTTAACTGGGGTTTGTTAATTTATTTGTGTGTATTTAATTTTTATTTCCTGCCAGTAGGCTCTAGGGAACATCGGGTGCCATATTTTAGAAAGGGAGCTAAAGTACAGATGCTGAAATGAATTGTCTGGAGCCACAGAGCTCTCCTAGTTCTGGGATCCCCAGAGACAGCACCGTGCTTCCATTATAGCCTGTATGTCTGTTTTTCATGTCTTACTACTTGGAGAGACTTTATTTTTAAATAACTTCACTTTTTAACAAGCACAAACACTGTGAAGACATCTACAGCTCCTAATTATGCCTTTCTTTTTTTAGAGTTCTGTAGATACATCGGAATAGAACATGCAAAGTATGTCAGACAGAAGGACTCTCCTCAGCAGAGAGAATGAATATGGGCAGAGGTGAGAGCTGAGTTTATGGGTTGGTTGTGAGGGATGGTTTTGTCCTTTATAAACAAAAAAAAAGCAGCAAAATAAACATTAAAACGAAGGCGCAGGAAGAAAAAAGCTTAAGTAAATGTATGTGCTTTAAAAGTTGCTCTGGTTTATTTTGAACAAAAGCATATTTTAAAAGGTGAGTGGGTTTACTAATGCTATTTCTATGAAAAACGCCTTTTGCAAACCCCACTGAGGAAACATTCTCAATTTAATTCCACAGCAATAAGCACAAATCCTGTCATAACAAATACTTGTGGTTTTACCACTTGTGTGCTTGATACATCAATAATAGCACGGCCTAAGTGCTTGCCTGCACTATATTAACACATGCTTCTTCGAGAAAAGCCAAACTCCTGGTTTCATGGCTGGGGGGGGAGGTTAGACCCAGGATTCCCTGTGCTGGACTGATAAAATTTTATAGAGAGAGATTATAGCTTGCAGGCTCTGTCCTAACACTGAGGAAAGTGCTGTGAAGCCGAGGAGAGGGGACTGTCACCCTCCACGGTACCAAGGGCTGCAGCTCCTCCATGGGTCAGCCCACAAGGGTTTCCAGCCTGCCTGCAGCTGCCAGGCTCCTGCAACGCAGCTTTACCCAAGCGTAGCGTTTGCAAGGACCTTAGAGAATGCTTACAGCTCAATATGCTATTCATTCTGAAAGTTATGGACTGCAGGGTCTGCTCTTTTCTTTATATGATGGCAACAAAGTGTTAACCAAAGCACTTTTCCTCCCCGCGTTAAGACTTGGCACAAACATTCCCTCAAATAACCAAAAACCTGTGTAAAAATTAGGTTATTTAATGTGGCATTTACTGCCTCCTCCAGGGTTAGAAGGGCTAAAGAGCAATGAAGAAAGCTATCTGGAAAACCAACATAGCAGTAATTCTCCTTCAGAAGCAACCAGGTGGAGAGAAATGAGGCAATCAGCCTCCTCTACAGCTATAAACACTGCACAGCTTACCCATCATTTTAATACAAATGGTAAGTGAACGGAGCGGTGGAGGAAAGGGGAGCAGTGGAAAAGGTAACGGATTACTCTCCCCGGTGAACAATGGAAAAATTGTCAGTTGTGGAAGCAAACCTCTGTAAGTCAGGTTGTACAATCCCAGCAGCAGCAACGCCAGCCCAGGGACAAGAGGTAATGTCATCTCCTTTGGCCAAGTCAACCAGTGCCACACATTTCTTATTTTCAGCTTGTTCATGGCTGTAGGGTGTTTGAAGCACATTATCAGACCACCATAACCGAATAAATGAAAGCAAACGAGGCACGTGGGGCATTCAGGAGAGATGAAAACCCTTCACAGTTGAGATATTCTTACAAACTTACATCCGTGAACCAAGCTAAGAGACAGGCCTGGGCTCTGAGCTCTCATAATCTGGTGTCAATCTGCAGTAAAAGACCAGATAAACTCACTCTTGACACTGCCACAAGCGTGACACCGCAGCCTGGTCCGTGGCCTCTGTGCAGGTCCGTTGATACTGTGCGGTCTCTGAGAAGTCACAGGAAAGGGATGACCTCCAAAAAGATGGCAGCTGCATACTCAGGGGTGGCTGGGTAGACAAAAAGAGGCTTGGTCTCTTTGGAAAGATTAATTTTTTTTCCAGCTGTGCTTAAGAACACTGAGGTCCAAAATAATCTTCCTTTCCTCAGCCTGTAGCACCTTGAGTCCTTATTGAGGGAGGACGGGGAGGGGTAGGTGAAGGTGTTGCTCTCACTGGTAGTGCAGCAGCTCCTCCCAGCGAATGGGCTGGGAAAACACCTCTCGCTCCAGCCAGAGCTCGTAGGAGTAGTGGAAGTCCTCGGGGAGCTCCAGCCGCTGTCCCAGCACGCTCTGCAGGCAGTTGTCCACCGGCGCAAACTCCGAGTCTTGAGGTTTGTCGTACCTCCGGCTGTTGAAGGCTTCGATGTTGGCTCTCAGGGTGCATTCCTCAGCCTGGAAATCCCATGGTCTGGCATCGATATCTACGTTGAAGAAGGAACAAGACCGAAGTGCGGTGGAAAAAATAACTCTGATAAGATTTGAGCAAAAGAAACAATGAAGATTTTACAGCAACCACATGCCTGAATTGACCAGAGTATTAGCCACTCGGTTATTCCTAATTATTATTCCTAATCAATTCCCATTATGTATGCATTTTAATTTCAGGTATTTAAATGAAATGTGTTAAAATCAGTTGTAAATTAAGCAGAGTCAGACAGCTTCCTATAGAAATGCCATTATTTCTGCTCTTCAATGTGCTTTAAGGACTCTCCAGAATTATCAAGCTGCTGCTTTTTTTCAGAAAGGCCCCACCACTTCTGAAAATCGCACATGTCTGAAGCAGAGATCAGGATTAAATGCATATAGCTAAAACCTGACAAGCTTATTATGAGCTACCAAAAATAAAGATTTTTAAAATGTGGACAAATTTAGCTATGAATGATGTTGAAAATCTAATAGCTGGCTGTAATAACAACGATATTTTAAAAATGCAATATTATGTAAACATGTAACATGGAAAAAGACGAAATATTTTGAAAGTTGAGCTCTAAATCTGTATGCAATAGCCATTTGCTCCATAAAGGTTCAGTAAATTCATTGGCAAAGCTCAGCAGTGCTCAAGGAAGGGAAAGGTCCGAGCTGAGGATCAACCCAGATACCCAAAGATAAAAATAAACTCTCCAGGAAAAGCCCTTCCAGATCGTGTCTCTGAAAGCCAAGTGCTTCCCTGGCAAACTGTCCAGGTCAAGAGGCAGCCCCTTCGAAGCAGTGAATTGTGCAATCCCGCGTTGCATTATGCTGCTGATTAACTCTTTGGGGGGAAGCGGGGGACACACAACAATTTATCCTTTGCATCTGTCTTAAAATCGCATTCTTACTATCTGCAAATTCAGTTGTTATGACAAACCCTTGCTCCAGGGCAGGTGACCTCCGTGGTCTCCTGCTGTTTTGGAGCATGTAGTGCTCGAGCTATTTGAGTCACCCAAGGCAGGCAGCATCCCACAGCTGTATCCCACAAAGAAGCCCTGCTGCCATATACAATCCCATAGGGAACAGTCAGCATGCTGGGAAAGACAGCGACAAGAGAGAAATCCCTGTAAAAGGAAGGAAGTCCCCAGTCTTCCCCAGCCTTCCTGCTCTTTGGTTTAGCCTTAAAGTGAAATTAAAAATATCGAGTCTAGTTTTGCATTCTTCTGAATTAATGTCATAGTGGTATCATGACTATGGGAAGCATACAAGTCTTCAAAAAATAGATTATGTCTTTTGCAGTTGAAGTTGAACACTCTAACATCAGTATAATACTTCTCTCTCTTGTAAAAAAGTTAAGACGTTAGGCTTTTACTTCTTGCCCTGTTTTCTTTTGAAACGGGAGCGCTCTCCAATTTTTCTACTTCATCCTCATGAAAAAGAAGATACACGCAGAACAAAAATTTAGGACCGTGTTACTGAGGCAAAAAGATATTTTAATACTTTCTCGTCCTAAGCTTGGGTCAGTTGTTGCAGCATCTGGGTGCACTTACAAGGGAATAAAAGCATGTGGTCTGATGCACCCCATGGATTAATACGTGAGGAACATCAGAAACTTCATAACATCCCTCAGAAAATATGGATTTAGACTACATAAGAGCTGTTTAAAGATACTGGCACATCTAGTCTGTGCTTCAGCTTAAGGGTCCAGAGTATCTGCACGGCCGGGATGTAACCGCTGTTGTTTCTTAGGTGTGAGCTGCAGAGCCATCAGTCAGAGTTTCACTCTGTGGCCATCCTAAGCACACACGTTTGGTGCGGATACCAGGGCAATTTAGTGGCTTGACGGCAAAAGTGATTTGGGAATGCAGAAGTGCAGGCCTGGGCTTGCTGGAAGCTCTCCTCTTGGAGACCCGAGCTGGCCACGTCCCACCTTGCTCCGATTATTCCCCCCTTTCCTCATGCAATCAATGTGTTTCTTGGTGGTGGTGCTGAACGGTGCCTTAAAGCTGAGAAAATCCCCCGTACTGACCCAAACAAGTTTACGGGATCCTAACAGGTCATAGGCCAAACCACATCAAACCCCCTGCGAGCCGATTTCAACTCCGCCCGCAGCGAGGCTGCTTCCCCGGCACCACTCACCGTTGCCGTAAGCCCAGTCATCGTTCATGCGGTGCCGCACCTTCTGGTAAATGGCAGACATGGTTTTCATGTTGCTTTTTCTCCACTGACGCCCCAGATATTTGGTCTGGATTTTCAACAGTTTGAGGACATACAGCTGCATCATGGCCTGCTTCACCTTCAGAGCTCGTTTCAGTATTGGGGCTGACTTAAAGACTACCAGCATCTGCCAAGGAATCAACAGAAATTAATGCAACGTGTTCAAGGAAGCCGCACAAGCACCGTCTGCGCAGCTCTGGGCACTAATGCCTGGGCCACGATGGTACAAACCCCAAGCAGGTAGAACAGGAGCGTCCAACGTAACCAACACTTGCTGCATGGGGCTTGAGGGTCATAGAAATAAGTATTATTTACAGAAGAAAAAAGTATTTCTGCATTTAAGGCTCAATCTGTGAAACAAAAATGGGCTGATTATGAAGCAGCAGAAGCTCCAGCACTGCCAGAAGAAACTCTCTGCAGGGCTGAAGCCCACAGGGCAGAGTCAGGGACACACTCGAGGCGCTGGCAGCCCACAGCAGCTCTCGGAGGGACGGGACATCACCTTACCATTGTCCTCGAGTGCTTCCACTTGGTCAGCTTGTTGAGGATCCTCAGCAAGTTAATGCAGGAGAATAAATTTCTCCAGCAGAACTGGTTGTTGTCTCCAGCTTCCTGCACAGCAGAGAAGGAAAAGCATAACCCTACCGGCAGCTTGCAACAGCACCGCCATGGAGATATCCTTGTGCAGAAAGTCTATTTTTACTGTCTGCACAAGTCTTATTTCCAATGCTACCTCCTCACTTGGGTTATCATCACGCTGCTGACAAGCCAGCAGATTCTGGGGAAAACCATTCTGAAAGACTCAGATGTAATCAGTGTTTTAATTTGCATTTAGCTTTAGAGGAAGAGCTAAGCTAAATCATATTATTCCACCATGGGAAATATATATTGTGCTAGATTTGTATTCGTTGTTTACAGTCAGAGAGCAAATTACAGCCTAGCGATCACCACCGCTTAGAGAACAGTTTTTGTTAATTATATAAATTAATTCATAAATTACTACATGCTTAGAGGACACATTACAGACAAATAAAAGGAAATTGCATAACAACGCAGGATGGCAAACAGCGGCATTTGTATCAGGAGGACAAGATTTTTCTGTAGCAAAGATCCCCTCCAGCTTAAATGCAGCTGATGTATTATTTTAAATATTAGCTAAATGTAAGGACCCCCAGCTCCAGCTTGCATGAATATTGCCCGTGGTATATTTGAGCAGTAATTCCACCACTACAGCAACTTGCTTTATGTTTGAACAGCACTGAGCACAGCAGACATGTCCCACAAATAACCTACTTGGGGATGAGAGCAGGAACAAGTGCTTCTTAATTTATAAGCCACTCACAGTGAGCTACAGCCTTAACAACTCATGGCAAAAGCTGCAGCCTGGTGCACGATCCAGGTTCTGGGCATCCTCAGGAGGAGTTTGGAGATGACCCCAGGGAACCCCTTCTGTCAGTGGCTAATCCAGCTTCGAAACTAGATTTACCCAAGAAAATCCCACTTGCATAATACCTTTGCTCTTAAAAGCAAGCACTGAACCTATCATTTCAGTAAGCTGGTAAAATGCTAGTGTATATATAATTTTTAGAGGCGAACAAGAAAGTGCTTCTGACTTACTTACTTCTGGGACTTGGTAAAAGCCACTCAGAGCAAATGCACTTTTCTGCCAGTAGAGGCTCTGCCTGTGCCGGCGGCTCCTGCACCCACAGCAGAGCTGGCACAGCAGAGTGCAGAGATGGGATGTCACCGAGATGCCCCCCCCAGATGCTGCCGGCAGCTCTGGGGGTACCAGCTCAGGAGCAGTGCTCCTGCAGTTCCGCAGCGGTGCCCAGTCCTAATCCACTCCCTCTGCACCAAGTAGCTTTTCCAAAAAGACTCCAGCAGAATAAGCTAATAACCCATTTGATAGGCAGCTGGATTTATTTTTGTCACCAATTCGATGTCGTCTCTGTAGCTTCAAGTAAGTGAGAATCTTTCCATTTGATTTACAGAAGGAGGGAACAGGCTGCACAAACTTTAATCCCCCTTTTAGCCCTCCCTCCTGTTACCCTCCCCGTGGCACCATGGCACGGTGCAGCGGGGTCCCCTGCAGCCCCCTCCCCAAACATGGGGAGCTGGAGGGGAGCGACAGCCCCGTGACAGGAGATGGGGACCGGCAAGGAAACCAAGAGCCTGGCCCACAACAGGGTGGGTGAAGCCCCCGCTACCTCGCCGGGACTGCAGCCACTCCCGCTTTACACCATGTGGAGACAGCACTGCTGAATTCTTTCTGGTTTTCCATGGAACTAAACCGAACACACACAATCCTGTTCAACCCGCTGAAAGCATAATCATCTGTTATATCTGCTAAGAAAGGTGTTACGGTATGATGTTAAAATCGGTGCATCAGAGCATTTAAAAAAAAAAAAAAAGCTAAAACAACACATAAAATGTTGGCAGAAGAAACATAAATATGTGCTCAAGTGTATGCCTCAAGTACCAGCGCTTGTTTAATGTCTACTAAATCCTTACATTCATGGGAATCCTCTCAAAGACAAACACACATGGTAAAATTCAAGTTAGTTTCTGCATATTTTCTGATTAAATTAGTCTCCTGCGAGGCTAACACCCGTGTCTGCTGGAGGAAAGCAATGCAGCACTGTCATTTAATGCAACAGCTCCCAAACTGGGGACCAGGCCCTACTGGGAAAGGGTAACTGGGAATATTTCCCCTCAATAAATTCAATCTCCTCCTACAGCCACAAAGTTTAGCCTGAGCCCAAGGATTAGCGTGAGCCATCGGAGCGCTCAGCAACGTGTCACTAGATGTCCCCATCGGGCCGGGATACAGTTGGTGGGAGCCCAGCAGGGCTGGACGGGCACCCCTGACCTTCAGCAAGTAGCCCATGGACCAGCAGAAAAGAGAGGACTGACCCCGTTGATAAGAGGGAGGTGATGGCCAGGAGCTGTCACCCCGAACAGGCACCCACAAGGAAGAGAAAAGCGCTGGTGGAAAGGCACGTGGGACAGCGGTGGAGGACCGAGCCAGCACGCTGGCCATGCGGGATGATCCCACACCCACCCGCTCATGCTCCACAGCATGTTTTTATATAAATTTGATCTGGGCAAGAATTTGCATCACTGTGCACATCAGAAATGCCGTGGCTACAGAGCCAATAAAACCAGTTTGGCTGCCCCAGCTGACCGCAGGCTTGGAGGGGTTCATGAGCAACTTTTGCTCGTAGAAACTAGGGAAAAACCTTTATTTTAATGATTTTAACCTTTACACAGCTAAGGAAAACAACATGGGCTTGAGATTTTAGCAGCCAGGCAACATGAGATCATCCCTGCCTGGTCTGGTTTTGGTCAGGCTCCTTCTCAATGATTCCTGCATCATTTAGGGGCTCCCTTCCCTCTGATCCCCCTCCCCGTTAACCCCAAAGCTTGTCCCTACTCTGTGCCCTGCGTGAGTCCAACCTACTCTGCATTTGAATTATTGCAGTTATGAACCTGCCAGCATTCATGTCTCATCTGTAATCCATATATTCACACAGCCCATCATGCTGGCTGGTCTCCATGATATTTAGGTTCCTCTCCATAGGGAATTTGGTTCATTCCTTAATCTACTGGCGTCTTATGAAGCACAAGTGCTCAGAGCAATTTAAACACGGGAGGCAATGGCTTCTGGGCAAATCCTTTTTAAAACCAGGCTCTCTTGTTTGGAGAAGCGAAAGGGAAAACTAAACCCAACTATTTTTACAGGGTGCACAACACCAACTATTTTTACGGGGTGCCTCCTCCCCACCTTCCCATAGCTGATAGATGGGATGGATTTTCAAGTCTGGTGGGCAAAAAAAAGGTCTGATTTTGGAAAGGTTGGGGGTGCGACAGAAAAAGAAAACAAAAATCCTTCCTCACCCTCTCACATACAGTGATACAGGTTACAAGGATCTTTTCTGTGCTGCTTACCAGGCTTTCTGCAGTGAGCTCGGGCAAGTCATAGACTGTACAGTGCGGATAATCCAGGACAGAGATGCTGTGGAAGGCAGGAAAGAAGGGACTCGCTAAGAACCAGGTAAATGTGAAAGTAACTTTTTAAGATGATCTATGGGATTATGCCCAGCAGTCTGTTACATCTTCCTTCCCCGTGCCCGGGGTTTGAATGGCAGTGGCATCGCTGCCTTACGCGGCAAACAGTTTGGATGGGTGGTGATCCCGTCTCCAGCGAGCCGCGTCGGGCCCGTGAGCCCGCCCGCAGCCGGTGCCTCCCTCCCGCGCTTCCGACTGCACAGCCGGCAGCCGAACGGGCTCCCAGCCTCGCGTCTCAGCTTAATGGAGCACGTCGATTCCTCTTGGCTCCGAAGTGCATCCTGAGTGCATTAATAAGGACTCGAAGGATTTGGATCCATTAAGACACGACAGATTAGTTATTCATATGCATGTTTTAAAAAAAGGAAAAAACCAACAAAACAGATCTTAGGTTAAAATGGAGACATCTGATTACTAGCAAGAAAATTCACAATGAGGGCAGTAGGTCTTTCAAAGCCCTCCAGGCCTATTGCCTTTGTTAAAGTAGCCAATAATAATAATAATAAAAAAAGTGTGTGTCTCTCTATCTGTCTGTCTGTCTATCTATCTAATGTCTGTATACATACACACACTCTGATGCTATCTGTGCCATCCATCTATCTATCTATCTATCTATCTACCTAATGTCTGCATACATACACACACACTCTGATGCTATCTGTGCCATCCATCCATCCATCCATCCACCCATCCATCCATCCATCCATCCATTCATCCATCCATCCATTCATCCATCCATCCATCCATTCATCCATTCATCCATCCATCTATCGTCTGCATACATACACACACACTCTGATGCTATCTGTGCCCTGAGACGTGCACCAATCTAAAAGTGTGCACTGTCATACAGCTTCAGTTCTTGTGTTCCCTCTTGTTTGCTATTTTTTGTCTTTGAATTCAGCAGCTGATCAACAAACTGGCTTGTGATGATCACTGAGCCAGAGGCAATCCGGGATGAGACCCAAGGTTGGGAGATCCCCTAAAACAGGCTTTCTTTAAAGTGTTTGGCCCATGAAGGGCTTCTCTGACCACAAGGACAGATGCTCCTCGCTGCCTCCTACCCGTCATAACCCTAGAACTGGAAGCGCTGTGTAAATACAATCAGAGGAGCTCAGAGGGAGCCAGCTCGGGACTGGGAGCCCCCAGGCTCATTTGCTGTGAGTTGTCATTGTACTGGTGTCACTTCTGGTATTTCTCGTTACAGCATCACTGGATTCAGGTCCATACATCTGAACATGACAAAATCCCGTGATCCTTTTTGCACGGCAGTGCCTGACGTTGGTCATTGTTATCTGACAAACTGGTACTCTGGGCAGAACAGCTAAACCTCCCTGGACCAGAGCACCCAGCTGCAAACCCCACCTCATTTCACAGGAAGATATCCTCCCCGTGAAACCTCCATCAGAGAGCAGAGGAGGGAGCTACGTGCTCCTGGGCTACACTTCCTCCTCACTTATGTGACTTTAAAGTACTGGACCAAAAGTGGAAACGTTCATCAGTAAAAGCATTAATATATTACTTTCTATTTTTCCATACGTGCCTTCTCACACATAGACAACCATACTGTGCAGGAGACAGAGCAGCTACACGCGTGGCTCAAGAGCAACAAAAAGAGCATCAAAAAGCAACAAAAAGGGTCTTCTCACCGTTCCAATGGCAACATCCCCTGTGGTGCTCCCCTCCAAACGGGGAAATCCTACCCAGTCCTACTGAGCTGTGAAAAAGTTGTGCTCTTTCAGTTCTTATGCCGACTTGTGATAGTCCAGCCAGTCCCCATACAGACTCAAAACAGGGCTAGTGTCCTTCTCGAATCAGAAGGAAAAGGCACTGACAACTATGCAAAACCGGAAGGACTCAGGAAAGCTGAATCATAGCTGTAAAAAGTAGAAAAGACTTAAAGACTACCCCATCTAGCCTTTTTGAAGCTGTGGCCCACAGACACCCAGTGGCACTGGATTGCTTTCCAGAAGTCTATGCAAAGATGAAAACAAACCTACTACCAGCCAGGGAGATGGGTTTATGTCACTAGTAATCCAATGAGCAATTGGAAACTCCTCATCCGGTCCTCCTCATTAAGTAGAAGGGATTTGGTCCCCTCCAGCGTATTCCTGTCGTGAAGAACATACTTCCCCAAAGCCGTGCTAGGGACCAGAGGTCACTCGGTCCCACCACATATTCATGTGTTGGGGTTCCTCATGCACAAAGCCTCCCTGCCCCATCACCTCTCTCTTCCCCAGAAGTGGCTGTACCTGTTTTTGGCAGTGATATAAGACATGATGTTTTGGTTGAAGAACTTCAGGATCAGCGGGATGCAGTTGGCAAACACCAAATGTTGAGACACGTACTCAAACTGAGGAAGAGAAGCGAAATGAGTCAATGTTAGCTGGAACAACCGGGAGCATCATCTGGGAATGGAACTCCATTCCAAGTCTGCTGTATAAGGCTTGCATCATACACAGCAACTCCCACCAGCTGGGAAACTTTATTTGCCACGGAGTGGACAAACATGATGGCAGTAGTTTAGGAATAGCTGCATTTAACAACCGCAGGGTAGCTTTTCAAGATAAAAATCTGTGGCAAAACAGTATATGGTGAAGAGGGAAGGAGGAGATGTAACTATTACATGAGAAAATACATTAATCCCTATTGCTGTCACACGCTAACACCGGTCCCCTTTCAAATTTCAATTGAAAAAAGTACCCTTAATTTCACACATGCTTTTAATTTCTCTCCCTCTCTGAATATTAAATGGTCTGGGTATGTACGGCTGCATAGTACAGCAAATCTCTACTGTCTTCTAGAGACAGACACAAACAGCAGCAATATCCCATCCCGTCCTACCCATGCCTCTCACTAACCTGCAGTCAACATCCCAAACTCGAGACCAAAGAAACAGTTGGTTCCTAGACATCTCATCTCAGCCTGGTACAAGCTGTTGACACTCGGTACGCCACCGATGACACACCGCTGCCGTTATTTGCGAGTGAGTAATCGGCAGTCCCCGCTAGCCGGGCTCCAGGATGCTCTCACTGCTTTGAAATGCAGCTGCCAGCAACTAGTATGTTACATGGGATCAGACCAAAGATAATGCTAACTTGGAGAACTGCAATAATTGGATGGCGTTTCTCTGTTGGCATAAGAAATGCCAAATCTCGACAGAACCGAGATAAAAAAAGACATGATCTGTGTGGGCGTGCGGGTCCGACGTGGCAGCCGGTGAGCACAGGGTGACCCCCAGCTGAGCCCGGAGCAGCCACGCTCTCTGTTACCCTCCACTGCTTCCTGGAAACATCATCTCAGCCCCTGCAGTGGTTTTTGGGGTGCTCTCTGAGACCAGCTTTGCCACCAAAAGAGATTATGATGGCTCACCCAAAATCAGACACAAAAGCAGAATCAGGGGGAGAACACCCCACAGCTTTCTCCAGATTTAGCAACTGACTGCAAGGGTCCTCCTGCCATGGAGAAAGAAATGAGAGGAACCGTTTTGGGAGTGAAGCAAGAAAAATTAGCGAAGAGATGTGGGGGGACCCAGAACAAATGGAGGATTGTAAAAATACGGGGTTTTGTTTCATTTTATCCAACCCAATATGCGGATTTCTATTTATCCTCAGATAAATATCAGTGGGCTTCATAATGCAGATGGATTTATAGCATGCTGAAACCTCGAAAGAAAAAAAAATTAGAAAACACTAATTGTTTAACTTGCAGAATGGGCAGAGAACTGGGCCCCGGTCACAGCTCATATCAGTCCTCGGTCTTTTTTTAACTAAAGAAAGCCCTCATGCAAGTCCAGTTCGATTGGTGCCATGCAGATGAAGCAAAAATCGGATTGCATCTAGGACCCAGACCTCCAGGCTCTGTTGAAACTGGAGCCCCAAGAACTTGATCCTGCCGAGGGACAGAGGACCAGATTAGTTGACCTCGTGAGGTCCTACCCAGCACTATTTCTGGTCACTGGAGATGAGACAAAGCAAAAGAGGGTCTTGTCTAACCCCCATCTACTTCCCCTTTCTGCTGGGGAGGCTTGTGCTCGTGATATCTCCTAAATTTTAACTTGATCTGCCACAGTGTGAATTTCTCCAGAAGTCTGAGAATTCCTTCCATGTGAGTGGAAACAAGCCTGTCAAAACACAGTCAGAGATATATTGCAGGCAGGTTATCCCTGCCTGAGTAACGCTATACAAATCCTGGCCCGGGGCTAGGGTTCCCCACTGTGGAAAAGTAATCTGCAGCTCCTCATGGGAACCATTCCTGGAGAGGTCTTTTAGGAGAGGGTCTTATCAGGACACACTGGCTTTAAGACCAGCTCGGTGGTGGCTGAGCCCCTCTCTACGCTCACCTGGTAGATGTGGTTCAGCTTGAAGTGCTTGAGGAGCAGCAGCAGCAAAGCCGAGATGCTCTTCACGATGATCTCTTTGTGTCTGTTCACGTCAATCCCCAGTTTCATGCTCTGAAGAACGGTGATGCTGGGTTGGAGGAAGAGAAGGCAACAGCACAGTGGATACAGGAGCAAGGAGGACTAAGGGACTGTTGAGTTCATATTCATCTGGACAGGCTCTACAGAAACAGGGACCTTTGCTTCCCCCTGGGACTCCCATTTCCATCCTCTCCTTCCTGGTGACAATAAAGTGCATTAAAAAAAGGAAAAAAGTGCTGATTGCCCTCTGCCAACAATCCTGGGGGAGCGGTATGAAGGACACCTGCATATGCTCACATATTTTTGATTTATGTCAATTAACATGATTTTATTATTTGTGCCACTTTGCTAACAGAGCAGAGCGGCTGCCGACCGCGCTCGAATTGTTACGCTCCTGAAAAAACAGCTTTCACCCCTCTGCTTTGGTGGCAACAGTAGCTTGCACCTATCCAGAGACATCCCAAAATCTGGAGATCCCTGAATCTACTGGCAAACTCCAACTCTCCCTCTCGGTCCAAGACTTCTTGGCAAAGCTGGGATAGCTGCGGCCACTTTGTCAGGAACTTACGGCATCTCTTCAGGCAACACGTCTGCCAGGATGTTGATGGAGTCAGTCTTGGCTTTGGAGGTGGGCGCTGCAGCAAGGAGGATCTTCAGCAAAGCTATCTGCAGAAGAGGGCAGGCATGGAGGGATGCTCCCAGGAAGGGACATTCCTTCCTTCTCCTTCACTTGCTGAAACTGGACAACCTCAAGCCAGCTCTATAGGGTTTCACCAGCCCAAGCTCCTCTCACTGTGATGGACTGACTATGCCAAGGCTCAACCTCTCCTTTTATACCCTGGACAGACAGGGCAAGTGTGGGGAGCACAGCAGCTCTGGTTTAGCCTTAACTTAAGGCATCATGAGCATCTGATAAAATAATGCAGGGGACACCTGGAGCTTGATGCATTTAAATCTGGTCTCTCCCGACGGACAGAGTGCATGTGACCCAATTAGCATCTTGGAATCACAGAATCAGAGCGGTTTGGGTTGGAAGGGCCCTTAAAGACCATCTAGTTCCAAGCCCCCTGCCATGGGCAGAGACACCTTCCCCTAGGATCAGGTTTCTCAAAGCCTCATCCAACCTGGCAACGTAGCTGAATTTCAGGACACATATTCCTCTGGGAATTTCCTGGGGCCACGGGAAGGCTGCAAGGGATGTCCCTGTAAGGAAGGTCATAACTTATAGACTCTCCACAGTTTGAATAGCTGTTGAGAGCACAGCCCGGTTGGCAGAGACCTGAAGGTGTTACCGCCTTGTTTGCTGAGCCACGTAAAGAACAACGATGGTTTAGTTTTGTTCCTCGCCCCACAAGTCATCACACTCGGCCATCAGCGCAATATCATAATGGAAAGTTAATCTCAGCAAGAAGGGCAAGGGCTCAAGGGACCAGCGAAGTCCACAGGTTGCTTTTTGAGGTCAGAAGTGAAGGTGTCTGCATCACTGTGCAACAACTTGCTGGTACATACTACAGCTCGAGAGATGACACGGGACCATCCCCAATTGGTTCCCTTTGCTGTTCGGATGGCAGGCGCCAGTTCTGAGCTCCCACCAATGTGGAGGACTTTGTTCCTTGTTCCCAGTCCTCCACACACATCCTATTTTCCAACAGCTGACCCGTCTCCAACCATCTGACCATGTCTCTGGGTATCTATAGCCCTTGATCCTCTGAATCCCTCCTCTTGGAATGTACCCTCCACCCAACTCTGCTCTGGATTCCCACCAAATTCTCTCTGTTCAGGTCCTGAACACACCCCAGCAGCTCCATGCTGAGCTCTGCAGCTCACACACTGGCACCATTCCCCACTCAAAAGTTCCTCTTTTAAGAAACACAGGCTTACCATATACTGGGGGAGATTATACAACATTGCACGATACAAGATCTCACAAGGGGTTTCTTGAACTTCCTCTTCCCCCTATCACCGAGAAACATTAGAAACAAGGGAAAAATAAGTATTTCCAGTCCACACGCTTGAGATATGTCAGTCACCTCCATTAAACCCAGCCTGAGGACTTAATGATGGACATAGCTGCATGCTGACTGCAGGAATCTCCAGGCCTTTCTCCACTGCTACATTTGATCAAGACAGGGATTGCTAGAAAAAACAACATCCAAGGTGTGTCCTAAGGATGATGAAGGATGTATGGATTTAAATGATACCTTGGAAATCTTCCACACCTCTGTCTAGTGATGGGGTGCCGCAACTTCTTACCAGAGACATGGGGCACTTCTCCAGCTCCTCCTCATTCTTGATCTGGACGTCTGAGATGGAAACGTACTTGTGCTGGCAAAATACAGAGAGAGGTGGAGCAGTATCACAACTGACGGATGAAACACAGTAAGAGATGACAGCAGTTGCTGATTTCAGTAATATCTGAGTTAGGTGTATAGGTCACAGCCGATGCATGGAGAACTCCTCTTGCTGTGGGACACCTCTCTGTCCCTGAAGCTCCTCACACACCATGCCTTTGATTACCTCCACCTACTCCTAGAATCTCTCTGTAAGTAAATGGAGAGGGACAATCGCCTCCAAAAAGCAATCCAGGTCTTTCATAAGGTCAGCTGGCCCCTGGAGGTGTCTCACTCGGTGTGAAGCACTGCAAGAGCCAAGGCTGGCCATGCACCCCTCTGGGAACAACACAGGTCTGGGCATGTTTGTCTAAACCCAACTCTGGAAGTCTGTCACCTTCAAAGCACAGCAAATGCTCGCCAGGATGCAGCAAGGTTACACCTCGGCTAAAGGGAAAGTCCAAGTGCTGGACAATCTACTTGGAATTGCAGTGAGGACTCAGTTTTCCATTTTTTGCCCCAATTCCTGCAAGAAGGTCCAGAAGCTTTCCCTGTGACAGCTAACAAGAGGGGACCCTCTTACTCCCTCTAGTAACTGTGTTTCAGCCAGAGGTTAGACGTGAGCATCCCGCACCACATGTGGTGGGCATCCAAGCGGTTCAGACCTTGACTGGATTCGTCGGATTGACTTGCCAAGGCAGAGGGAGCAAGAGCTCAGACCAAAGACATTGCTGTACATCAGCTGAAGAGGAGCAGAAGACTAAACTCACGTGAAATATTTACTGTGGGCTGACAGCATATATCAGAGGAACTTAAAGCTCATGATAAGTGCCGCATCACAAAGTTTATGTGTATGAGACTTGATGCCCTGCAATCCCCCTACGACCCTGGTGATCTTGACCAAAGACTTCCCCACTTCCACGAGATCCCCACGGGTCTGATTCTACCTCAGAGCATCTGCTGAGTGCCAGGGAGCAAAAATAGCAAGAGATGAGGTTAGACAAGCTGACTGCCGCTCAGCAAGGCTTTCTGGGCTGCTTCATCCAAGTGCCGCGCAAGGTGTCACCATCTTACCTGCTTCAGTGTTTTCACACTTTCATGGATGGGCCGTGGTAGCCCTATCAGGGTTTCAGTGTCTCTGGGGGGGATGAAAGAAGGTAAGTATGAGGCTGGGATCTGGGTTTAATACTTCTGTGTCATACATGGTAAAATAGGGGGACTGTAATCTACTGAATGCATCCCAGATGGGTCAGAAATGGGGAGGGGTGTCGGCGTGAGCTGCCTGCCCTCCCACCTCCTCCCCAGCAAAGTCTGCACAAAAGAAGGGTGACATCGGGATGAAGAATTGGGGTGAAATCAGGTCTCTGCATGGAGCTAGCTTGAGCCCAGCACTGCACCTAAAACCGAATACACCCTGCTGGCCCCGTGCCAGGATAACTCTGCTTGAGTTATTCAGAAACTGGGTAATTTGCTGTGGATACCAGAGTGTCCCAACTCCCTCCCACATCAAACCAGCCTCTGGCTTGGGCCAGGGGTCACTTATTCTGGGCTAGGTCTGATTTTTAACAGACAGCTGCCTTGGAGACCAGCATCTCCAAGAACATGTTTGTATAATGCCTAGTGCACTGCTGCAGCCCCAGCGAAATCCAGTGCTGTGCTGCATCGTCCCAAGCATGCCTTAGGCTGGTTGAGTTGAGAAAACTAAGCTCTGCGGACACCTTCCACCAGTTCAATTGCACTGATGGGTGTTGAGACAGACTTTGTTGGACCTACACACATAACACTCACTGTCCCAGTGTGAAGCCGATGAATTTGTTCCTGCTTGCTTCTAGGAAATGCTCAATGTCTTTCTGTCTGATGAACAGAGAAACAGAAACAAGAAGGTTGGAAAATAGACATAGACAGATCACAGCCTACATTGCTCAGAAAGGACAGCAGCCTGGGACCGGCAAGGACTTTTGAGCTTTCTAGGATTGATCTCTAGAGGTCTTAAAAGCAGCAGACTAGAGCCACCATTGCTCTGACTAGTTGGGAGCAACACGAACCAAAACCATTTGTATTTGCTGTGCAACCCCATGGGAGTGTGCAAATAAATGGAGAGGAGTTCTTTACAACCAGCACCCTTTTATCCACCTTCTGTGCTCCTAACACATGCATCTTCAAGTAGCATCTGCTCTCTCTGAGCAAACAAATGTTGTCTCTGCAGTCTGGCAGAGCACATGCTGCTCAGAGAGCAAGATGACATCTTGTCCACCTTGGGCATCTTTCATGAGAACTGGTCAGGCTCTCAGCACTACAAGTAGGACATGAACTGTGAGCCAGCGCTCTCACAGGCAAAAAGAAACCCAGCTGGATCTCCAGGCACCAGCCAAGAAAAACACCGATCATTTGATTTTTGAAGCTGAGAGCATTAAGTTACGTGGAGTACCACGGCACCGCGTGTGCAGATGCCCATGTGGGAAACTGTTTCTTGCCGTGTCCCTGCGAGGAGTGCTCTGCGTAGACACACTTAACCCTGTTGCTGCTCCCACGTCAAAAAGATGTATTTGCTCCTGTGATTTAAAGTTACTGGATTAAATCCAGGCTTCAGATCAACAGCAAAAAAACTCGCATGGATTAAAGGGAAGGGGACAGAGGATTTCACCCTCTTTTCCTAATCCTTCCCCTCTACCATGTGTAGCAGAACTGGTGTTAGGAAGGGAAGGCACCAACTTCTTTATCCTCAGATGTTTTTCTCCAACTTCTTACTTTAGAGCAAGGCCATTCAAGAAGACTTCATCTGGGAACACAAGAGTCCCACTCGAAAAGCAAGAGGCAATCTCATTAATCAGTTCCCAAGACGATTAGTCTAAGACCCTGCCCTACCGAGATCCATTGATGCTGGTTGGGAAAGCTAACCCTGCTCCCACAGCACTCCAGTGCAAGCCTCCTTCCCAGTACAAGCTGGGATGTCCAAAATGGGATTGCCACTTACTGGCCAAGCTTGGCCATACCTGGTTTGTAAAGCCTGGGGAAGGGATCAGCTAAACCCAGTCCAGAAAGGACAAACTGAGACAAAAAAAAAGAAGCTGAGTCACTTCATTTCAACTTGCCAGAGGCCAACAAACTTGCCATGGACTGATGTTCAGCCTGCAATGAACTCCCGTACAGGTAGGACTGAGGAGGACAACAATGACACCAAATGGTTTTACCTGACTTTGGGGGCCCAGGGGAGCCCTTTGGGGAATGACACCCTTTCAATAGGTGGGCGCTGAGCAGGCATCACGGGGATAACGGCGTCCCTCTCTATCAGGTCCAGTTCCCCCTCAATCCCACTGTCCACGTCATCGTTCTCCTCTTCGTCAACTCCTGCTTCATCATTCTTGAAGGGGTCTCTCTCATTGTACATATCCAAACTGTCTTGTTTCATCAGGGGCTGCAGCAGAAGAGGAAATAGAAATTCAAGTCACTCTGGTGATTTAATTTCCTTCCTTACCACTGGCACCAGACCTCTCCATCCTGGAAAGATCAAGCGCCCAGATGTTCCTCAGGTGAGGATTTTCTTCCTAGCTATTACCAACAGAGTCTGGACAAGGAACAGCCCCCTCTGTACCTCTAACATTGCTGCTCTAGGAGATGTGACCCCATTTTGGACCTGGGCAGGCTGGAGAGGGGGGCCCGGGCAAACCTCATGGGGTTCAACAAGGCCAAGGGCAAGGTCCTGCCCGGGGGTCGGGGCGGGGCGATCCCCAGCACAAACCCAGGCTGGGCCCTCGAGGGGTGGCTGGAGAGCAGCCCCAAAGAGAGGGGCTGGGGGGGCTGGAGGGGGGAAAACTGCCCGTGAGGCAGCCCCGTGTGCTCGCAGCCCAGAACCCACCCGTGCCCTGGGCTGCAGCCAGAGCAGGGGGGGCAGCAGGGCCAGGGAGGGGATTCTCCCCCTCTGCTCCGCTCTGGGGAGACCCCCCTGCAGTGCTGGGGCCAGCTCGGGGGCCCCCAACAGCAGAAGGACACGGAGCTGCTCGAGCAGGGCCAGAGGAGGCCACGGAGATGCTGGGGGGGCTGGAGCAGCTCCCCTGGGAGGCCGGGCTGAGAGAGTTGGGGGGGTTCAGCCTGGAGAGGAGAAGGCTCCGGGGAGCCCTTCGAGCGGCCTCCCAGGGCTTAAAGGGGGGACAGGGGAGGTGGGGAGGGACTCTGGGTCAGGGGGTGGGGATGGGACGAGTGGGGACGGTTTTAAACTGAAAGAGGGGAGATTTAGATCGGATATAAGGCACAAATCCTTCCCTGTGCGGGGGGTGAGGCGCTGGCCCAGGGTGCCCAGAGCAGCTGTGGCTGCCCCCTCCCTGGAAGGGTTCAAGGCCAGGTTGGACGGGGCTGGGAGCCCCCTGGGCTGGGGGAAGGGGGCTCTGCCCGGGGCAGCGGGTGGCACTGGGGGGGCTTTAAGGTCCCTCCCAACCCAAACCACCCTGTGATTCTATGATTTTCCATCTTAACTTTTTGAGCTACCATCTGACAGTTCTCCCCTAGCAAAAGAGGCGTTTTCATCCTTGGACCATAACACAGCAACTCCAAGAGTGGAGCTAAAATAAGATGAGCTTGCTGTGAGTAGTTTGCTCCTCAGTGCTTATCAGCCCTTTGCCATATGGTCAGGATGTCCTCTTGCTTGCTCTGGATCAAGTGCATTGCAGGGCTGTCTCCTGCAACTGAAACTGGTAGATGGAAAACTGGACACGAGCCAGCCCCGTGCGCTCGCAGCCCAGAACCCACCCGTGCCCTGGGCTGCAGCCAGAGCAGGGGGGGCAGCAGGGCCAGGGGGGGGATTCTCCCCCTCTGCTCCACTCTGGGGAGACCCCCCTGCAGTGCTGGGGCCAGCTCGGGGGCCCCCAACAGCAGAAGGACACGGAGCTGCTCGAGCGGGGCCAGAGGAGGCCACGGAGATGCTGGGGGGGCTGGAGCAGCTCCCCTGGGAGGCCGGGCTGAGAGAGTTGGGGGGGTTCAGCCTGGAGAAGAGAAGGCTCCGGGGAGCCCTTCGAGCGGCCTCCCAGGGCTTAAAGGGGGGACAGGAGAGGTGGGGGGGACTCTGGGTCAGGGGGTGGGGATGGGATGAGGGGTGACGGGTTTAAACTGGCAGAGGGCAGATTTAGATGAGATGTAAGGCAGAAATTGTTCCCTGTGCGGGGGGTGAGGCGCTGGCCCAGGGTGCCCAGAGCAGCTGTGGCTGCCCCCTCCCTGGAAGGGTTCAAGGCCAGGTTGGACGGGGCTGGGAGCCCCCTGGGCTGGGGGAAGGGGGCCCTGCCCGGGGCAGGAGGGTTGGGACTAGATGATCTTTAAGGTCCGTCCCAGCCCAAACCATCCTGTGATACTGAAAAATGCTGAAACGCTTGGGGGGAATGGGAAAAGCGCTCCTGAGCACAGGCCGGCTCCTTGAACAGATGGTGGTCCCCGTTGGAAAAGCACCCTGGGCCGTGCGCCGGGAGGATGAGCCAGCTCTTACCCGCCGGCTGCGGTGACCGCGCTTCGGCTGCTGCTGCTGCTCCATGAGCTCGATGGAGTAGGTGGGAGGCGAAGCGGCGCGCATGCTGCGCATCACCTGGATGCTGTCCTCCGGCAAGGGCGGCAGCCCCAGCTCCTCCCTCTTCCTCACCTTCATCGCCTGCAGGGCTTCAAATCCACCCAGCGTGAACTAGAGACCAACGAGAGAGGTGAGAAAGCGGGGAGCAGACACCCCACCTGGACCACACGGGTTCTTCTGGGCTTCCAGGGGAGCAGCAGTTTGAGGCCATCAAACTGAAGAGTTGAGGATGAAGAAACCACGTCACTGGTTCGTTCTCCAGACTTCTCTCCCACCCCACATCCTCTGCATGGCTCAGCCCACCCTCATCCCCAAAGAAACTGGTTGCCTTCTCTCAACCTCTTGTGCTATCCTAAATAATGGCATTATGGTTGGATTGAATAGTGGGGAACACCCAGGCTGCATCAGCACTATTCCCAAAATGACGAGTGTCTGGAAAAAGGAAGGGTTTGCACCCACCAGAAGCACCTTCCAGAGCAGGAGCAGGACCTTCTTCATGGGGAAGTGTGGTGCGTGGCCACTGCAGAACTTGGTCACCATCGTGAAGAGCAGAAGGGCAAACGGCTCTTCAGTGTGCACAGGGAAACCTGGTGGAGAGAGGGACCAGGAGCAGGTTCAGAGCAGATTCCCCCATTCCTGAGGTCTCCCTGCTGGTCTCGTTAGGGCACAATGAACTCTGTGGCTCACTCAGCTCCATCCTGAAGGTCTCCTGGCAGGTTTTCCACTCGGGGGGATCCGTCTCCAGCTCCACACGGATGTTCTCCACCATCAGGTACATGACACTGAGCAGTACCCTGCCGGGACAGCACAGCAGGTTGGTGACGGTGCCAACCAGAGGCCACTTCGTCCCCAGGGGCTGTCCCACAGCGTCCACCCCACGTGGGAGGCTGAGAGGGGGGGTACCTGAGCTCCGTGCTGTCGGCCAGCGAGATGGCCGGCTTCCTCAGGGCGCTGCTGCAGGCCTGGCTGTTGCTGTGGGGAAGGGGACGAGCTCAGTGCCAGACACCGGGCACAGGCTGCTCCTCGCCCCGACCCCCAGCCTACGTCTGCAGCGGTGGAGGCACCATGCTGGGGGGGAACGTGTCGTGGCTGCGGCACCTCCCTGGTCCTCAGTGAGGAGGAGGAGGAAGGAGAAAGAAGAGGGCGAGAAAGATGGGGAGAAAGAAGATGAAGGAGGGTGAGGAGGATGGGAGAGGAGAGTGAGGAGGATGGGAAGAAAGAAGACGAAGAGGGTGAGGAGGATGGGGAGAAAGAAGACAAGAAGAGGGTGAGGAGGATGGGAGAGGAGGGTGAGGAGGATGGGGAAAAAGAAGATGAAGAA